AGGCCTGGCTCCTGCAAAACACAAAGTGGAAGACATTTACATTTTCCTGTAAGGGTTCCAGGCCCCTGGCTGGTGGGAAGGCCTCAGCATCTCAGGCATGCTTAACTCCACCAGTTTCTACTCCCCATCTCTGCAGCTTCACCTGCAGCTTCCAGGCAGGACGTAAGGGCCATACAGGGGGAGGTCTCATTCTTTCACTCATCTCAGCACTCTCTGACCACAAGAAAGGCTTTCCCTGTCTTCAGCAGAACTAGTTTTATTCCCTATAGTTTTCGGGATCCCATAAGAGAAATAGGAGAAGTCTTACAGCTTTATGCAAATGCCCATCCACAGAGGATGGCGAGGCGAACCATGGTGCACCCTCCGATGGAACACCAGGCAGCTGTTTCTTGAAGAAAGGATGAGATAACTCTCTACCTGTGGGATATGCACCGAGCGAAGTGCGCAGCAACTCCTGTAGTAGGCTACTTGTTCAGTTCGAAAAAACATGTACAATCGGGGTGGACGTACGAGAAAACGGTCATGACATTTACCTCTAGTGAGTAAAGGACACTGGGAAGAGAGACTGAGTGTTCATCGTGATCTTCTGGTAACTTCTGAATTTTATTCTATGTACATAGCTTACCTATTAGATATATATATATATTTTTTTAATTGGCAGAGGGCATGTACTCACTGGAGGTGGAGAGAGAGGAGAAAGCACACCCAATGGGGCAGGGCCATCCCGCAATTCCTTCTCCTCCATTTCTCCAGCCTGTTGGGATTTGGGGGATTTGTGAGTATTCAAGCTGCCAGGGCTGGGACTGAAACTGTGGTTGGCCATGTGGACCCCATTTCCCTGAAACATTTGGCTATAGACCCAGCCCAGGAGATCTTTTTTTTTTTTTTTTTTTTGGGTTTTTTCACTATAGGGCGCGTGCGCTCGCCATACAGACAGAGAGAGACATTAGAGATAGAAAGCGAGAAATCACCCCCCAGGGGGGATGGTCACGCCGCAGTCCCTTCTCCTCCATTCTCCTCTCGGGATCTTGGGCACGCACGCACACACGCCTGGCGTGAGTTTTAAGCCACCGGATCCGGGACACGAACCGTGGTCGACTACGTGGGAGTCCAGCGACATAGCCATTACGCTAACTGCTGGTTCCCGAGGATATCATTTTTTTGAGAAGCAGCACTATGTGAGTTTAGCCAGGGTTTCTCCTTCCCTTTACAATGGTCCCAGCCAAACTCTCGGGATGCCCATTCCTCCTCCCCTGAAGTATGTTCCTGGGTTTTTGCTATTCCTGTCTCTCCTCACCCCACAGTGTATAGTACAGATGGCCCTGTCATTTGTTAGCCCTGCAGAGCAGGGTTGATCCCCATGGGCCCTGGGCAACATCCCTAACGCCAGTCACTCATCTAATGGACCTGGTCCCAAGGGTCACGTTCAGATGGAGGTCACCCACAAACCAAGCCTTTCCTGCTCTAGAGAAGGTCCAGTCACAATGCTCTCCTAATGCTGGCAGGGAGGTGAGGACCTAGAGTCTGAGAGAGGTGAGACTGGGGGGTCTCTAGGAGAATCACGTGGGATTCTTGTTCAGGTGAAGACAACAGCACAGATTAGAACAAGAGGGAGTCAGAGTAAAGGAGGTGCCAGGAGACCACACATCCTGAGTGGGAACCAAACACCCAAGTCCCTCACACAGGAAGAGCTTGAACGTTGTCCAGAATGTTCTGAAGATGGTGTGTGGGGCATTCTGGAGTTGCAGATTTGCTGAAGGCAACAGGCCCGGCCAGATGCTGGCTGGTACTGGGTGCTGAAGTGTACCAAATTCCTGCCCTGGGAACCGTATTTAGAAACAAGGTCTTTGCAGATGTAGTCAGTTGAGCACCTCAAGATACAGCCATTGCTGGAGTTTGAGCTTTGCATACATACGCTAGCCCCTGCGTGTGCTTTCTTTCCTACCACGTGTGGAGGAAGGAGGCAGGGAAGCAGATTGTCTTTTTAATCTAGTCTCAGGTAAAGTGGCTAATTGATCTGTGTCTGAGAGAAAGTGGGGGCAGCTGTTATGGAATAGCCACCTAAGGATCAGAGGGTGGGGGGCAAACTCCAAGGAGGAGCTCTTAACTCCAAGGGTGAGAGGGGGTTCAATGTGGTCTTGGCAGAGGGAAATGAAGGATTAATGGGAATAGGGGCAAATTGTACCCTAGCCAGTTAAAAAGGTATTATAATTAGTTTTAGACAAACATTTGCCATTAATAGAGCTTACCATCTTAAATATTACTGTAACTCATATTTCTGTTAAAGTAATAGAGAAATCCAAGGCTACAAGTCTGAAAGGACCTGTCCCCTGGGTGACTCAGGGACAATTAACCCCTTCCTGTGAGAGTTCAAGGAATGACCTCCTAGCCAGAAGCCCCAGGACCTGTGTCTCCAGAAGCTACACAGTCAGCTTTTCAGAAGTAGAAGTTAATATTCTTCCAAAGCTGACAACAGACATTGCAGTGGGGTCTCAGAAAGTGGTGAAGCAGCTGAGCCTTGGGGAAAGGTGTCAAGGGTTCACACGACATTTATGAACACCAGCAAAGAGCCAGGTCCTGGGACCTGGTTATGCTTCAAAGGGCTCCCAGTCCAGGTCTGCCCTGGCGAACATTCCCCTGTCTCTTTCCCCAGTTCCCCCTGAATGTCTCCAGTTCACAGAGCAGATGAGGTTGAAGTTGACCATTCAAAGAGCAGGCCAGAGAGAATGAAAGAACGTCTGCCCAGTGGCCCCTTGTGGTGTGACGGGGCGAGATCCAGCTAGGGCCCCCCTCAGAAGCCATTCTCCCATCCTAAGGGCCAATAATTTCATCCTGAGACCCTTCACTAATTACCTCCACACTCTGCCCAGTCCTACCTGTTTCACCTGAGTGGTAACAGAGCACAGGCCTTTAAAAAACTCAATGATCTGCATGTAGAGCTGAAACTTTTCCTCCGGGTTTTCTGGGTTGCAGTTGGCAAACATGGAACTGATGACAGAAAAATAGAAGAAGCAAATATTTAGAATTCTAGTCTTTCACCTCTGCTTATCCTGCCCCACTAAACTACCTGGACTGCAACGTGAACCAAGCACTCTGAAACACTGGCTGGGTTCTCGGACAGCCCAGAGCCCTCCGGGAAGGTGCGCATTACCTCTGCACAAACGCCTCATCTGGAACCTACATCTGGAAAGAGCAGCTATGGTGAGACCGGCTCTTGTGCCCTACTTTAGTGTCCTGAACTGTGGCCTCTGGGACAGGGAGCAAGAACTCCTTTACCCACTGAGTCAAAGTTCTACAGCAATGTCCCTGGTTCCCATTTACCTGTGGCTGCCGAGGTAGCTCAGGGAGTACCCTGCATCCCAGGCAGTGCCCCAATTCAGGGAGCCTTGGTGTAGAAAGGAGGCCTGTTTTGCAGGGTCCTCACTGTCCTCCTGGGATGGGGCAGATGTCCAGGGTGACTGGGGCTTTAGAACAAAGAAGCTATGAGTGGCTTCCCCCTGGGATGATGTCCCTCGTCAGGTTAGGAACCCTTAGGCAGCAAGTCCTGTCTTTTCTAGGGAAAGTGGGAAATGAATTTGTAGTAGTTTTCTGGTTCCACCAGCAGAGCAGAGAGTTCCACAAACCCCAGGCAAGTCCGCTTGGATTTTTCCTCTACAATGTTGTCTTTGCTGCCCAAATCCAGTGCAGAAACAGAACTGTCCTCTTCCGGCCAGTTTTGGGAAAACGGAACTGCACACATAGCTGAGGTGATATGGAGTTGCCACATAAGAAAGCTTTGGAGAGGACAAAGTCCTCGTCTGCCAATCCCACTTCTCCCCAAGTCTGCCCAGGCTTGCGCGGAGCAGGTGAAGTGGACGAACAAGGGCTGTTGTCCCATTTCCTGAACTCTGCTCGAAGGCTGGTCAGGGACAGCTGTGGCTCTGCACAGGCTCATGGGTCCCCAGCGGGCCAGGCTCCCATCCAGAGGACAATGGCGATATTCACTGGGATCACAAGGGCCTGATATCGCCCTCATTCCCGAGGTAGAAAAATGCAATGTCCAGGCTTCCGTAGTCATAACACCAGCACGGGTATGTGAAGGGCCTGTCCCTTCAGGACCTAAGACCACAGCTTTTCAAGCCAAGTACATTTCTAAACTAGCTCCCTTTGAGAAAATACCCCTGGGGTACAGATTTAGACAAGCTGCTTCTTGTTTTACTTATTTATATATATTTTTAGAATTATTTAATATTATTAATTATTATTATTTAAAATTTTGCTATAAGGTACATGCGCTCACCAGAGAGAGACAGAGAGAGAAAGTGAGAAAGCAATCTACCAGGTCTGGGACTCAAACAAACCATAGTTGGCCATGTGGGAGTCCAGAGCCTTAACCACCATACCACAGGCTGACCCTGACCACTTCTTATTTTAAAGTCTCCCCAGATCTTATTTTTTTTTTTGGAGAGGCTTTTGCTATAGGGCGCCTGCGCTCGCCAGACAGACAGAGACATAGAGACAGAAAGCGAGAAATCACCCCCCAGGGGGGATGGTCACACCACAATCCCTTCTCCTCCATTCTCCTCTCGGGATCTTGGGCACACACGCACATGCACCCGGCGTGAGTTTTAAGCCACCGGGTTCGGGATGCAAACTGCGGTCGACTACGTGGGAGTCCAGCAACATAGCCATTATGCTAACTGCTGGTACCCTCCCCAGATCTTGTTTTATGTCTTTGCACTTCATGGGGTACTCTTGTACCCTCCCTTACAAATCCCTTCCCATCAATACTGGGTAAAGCAGCCTCCTCCCCCTCCCCACTACCTGTCTTATAGCTCAGAGACTCCTCTAAGCTTGGGGACAGGTCTGTTCCATGTTGGCCCATGTTCTCTGTGTCCCAGAGCTCTCTGCCCACTTCTCTCACCAGATTGAGCTGCTCCCAGGCTGCCTCATGAATGTTTGTGGCCCCTTCCCCACACTTGATGCTGAAACCTAACCCCCAAGGTGATGGTATAAGGATGCTGAGCCTTTGGGGGTGGAGTGGAGATTAGGTCATTGGGGCGGAGCCTTCTTGAATGGGATTAGTGCCCTTATAAAAGAGTCCCCAGAGAGCTCCCCTGATCCTTCCACTCCATGAAGTTATATCAAGGAGATGGGGTCTGCAGGCGGTGTGCTGTTTAAGGACACTGGATTGCCACACGACCAACCGCAGTTTGAGTCCTGGACCTGGCAGCTTGCTTTCTCTCTTTCTCTCTCTCTGTCTCGCTCTCACTCTGTCCCTCTCTGATCAAATTATAAATAAATAAATAAAGTTAAATAGAATAATTTTTTAAAAAAGATGCCACCTATACGGAAGTGGCTCCTCATCAGACTCAGAATCTTCCAGCACCTTCCAGCTCCAGAAGGGTGAGAAATAAATTTCTGTTGTTTATGAGCCACCCAGTCCATGGTATTTAGTATAAAAATGGACCTAGAGCAGGACATAGCAGCCCTAAACAGACAGGGCAAAGGACCAGGTACATTTCCACAGCCTGGAGCTGCTAACCTGGTGTGTCCCAGCTGGACCAGGATGGAAGAATTTTTTACTCTGAGGATGCCCAGACAATGTCATCTCCAGCCCAATGCAGCATCGTAGGGCCAGCCTGCTTCTCGATACAGAAAAAAGTCGATCCCCGGGAACTTCCGCTGAATCATGCACCCGTGGGACGCTGCAGAGGAGTAAGAAGCACACATTCACAAACACACACTCTCACAGACACACACACACTCACATACATGCAAACTCACGCCATACTCACAGGTTTGCACACACACACACAATCCATAATCTCACACTCGCCTATTCCCTTGTACACACACTTGCACATGCCACCTCAGACTCTTCCCTCCTTACCTGGGGCTAGACGTACTCGGAGCCTCACTTTTGTCCAGGAAACTTGCAACATCAAAGGCATCTTCAAAGAGGATCTGAAAACACAGAACTGCATGCATCAGAAATGACTCCAGTTGGATGTCTGCTCCAGGCAGAGGCAGGAGAAGAAAGGTTCTCTCACTACACCTCGTCCTAAACTGCATGAGGTCAAAGCTGGGCCAGACCCAGGGTCTCTGCTCTGTGAACTTGCCAGGGGGTGAATATTAAGTTCTTTACTGCCCAGAACAAAGTGCCAGACCTGAAGGCTTGGGTTTGTTTTGTGGATGTGGGAGCCATGTGAGATCTGGCTTCTTCAACTACTAGGCTATGGGGATGACCCTAAATAAACTTTTATTTTGGGGGGGAGGTTTTTGCTATAGAGTGTGTGTGCTCACCAGAAAGACAGAGAGAGACAGAGAGACAGAAAGACAGAAAGTGAGAAATCACTCCCCAGGGAGAGATGGCTACGCCTCAATCCCTTCTTCTCCATTCTCCTCCTGGGATCTTTGGCATGCATGCACACGTGCCCAGTGTGAGTTTAAGCTAACAGGTTGGGGATTTGAACAATGGTTGACTACATGGTAGTCCAGTGACATAGCCATTATGCCAACTGCTGGTCCCTAAATAAACTTTTTTTAAAAAGAAAAGAATTTAGGTCAGCCCAGTTGGGTTAAGGCAGTTGGATCCCACATGGCCGATGACTGTTCGGTTTGAATCTTGGACCCAGCAGTTTGAACAACGGGCAGGGCATGTGTGTGTGTACCCAAAACCCAGAGAGGAGAATGGATTGTGGTATGGCCATCCCCCCTGAGGAATGATTTCTTACTCCACCCTCTTGAACAAGTACATGTGTCCTACAGCAAACTAAAAAAAAATAAAAATAAAAATAAAAAAAAGAAAAGAAAAAAAAAAACAAAACCAAAACCAAAAAGAATTCTTGGAAAACATCCCACCCAGAGACGTGCATTGCTGACACCACACTATCTATCTCCCTCTGGTTGTCTCCCTAGGCGTATCATATTTTATACTTTCAAATTTGGAACCTTGCTATTTAGACAGTTTCTTATCTTATTTTTCCCTGATTTGTTAAGGAATATTAAATATCTTTCAGAAACATGATTTATACTTTAGCTCACCAGATTTAGCAAATAAAAATGTAGGCTGCCCAGTTACACTGAAATTTTAGATGGAGAGTGAATAATTGTTCAGTATAAAAATATCCCAAATGTTGCATGGGACTCTTTCTACTGAGTGCTAGACTGGGCATGCTTTATTTTATCTGGCATCCCATTTACACTGGCAGTCACCCCGAGGAGAGGGGAGGGAATTCCTGGTCTTGAATTGGCTGACATTGGTGGGTTCTGCCAGGATCTCTCCTCACCCCTACCTGGGACATCCTGCTCTTCCCCAAAGGGTTATGTCTACCCTGTATGTCCTTCAGTTTGTTTCTTCCACACTAAATCCCGTAGGACCCTGTGCACATGTGACCCTGAGCCAGGAGCTGGCCTCGTGCACATCTGTTCACAATAGAGCCTCTGCAGGTGGACCAGGAAGGTGGCAAATGAAAGCCACAGCAGGAGTATCAGTGGCTTTTCCATGCCTTGGGCATGAGTGTTGTGGTTCTGCTCTGCTCACCTTATCATGCAGCCCTAGGTTGGCCTGAGCCTGGGGACAGCAGTGTGGCATAGCCTGGTTCCAGGGCACGGCTGAGCTAGGGCTGCCAGCTTTCCTTAACACCAGAAGCATATCAGCCCACAGCCCTTCCTGAAAGAGGCCAGACACACTGTTTCCAGGATTTGGGGACATGAGATTCTGGGCATTTCTCTTTGGGTTTGCTGCTCCTCGAGGAAGTGTTCACGTTGGCAGATTCAAGGGAGCACACAGACACGTAGTCAAGTTCGACAGACTTGCTCAGCCACCTGGTGTGTATTTTGTTTTTGTTCTCTTTGTGTGAGACCCAGAGCTGGGGACTTTGGGGCTATTACATACTTGGCTGGTAGCTCTCTCACGTGTGCCTCAGTTTGAGGTTTTTATCTTTTCACTGGCTCTGCTTGAGCTGTTAGGGAAGAGAAGGCAAGTCTTCTTGTGGCCAGTAACTGCAGGTGGGTCAAGGCAGGTGCTGACTGACCTTGTACATCAGACTGGTGTCGGATTTAACAATGCCACGGATCAGACACCTGGGGTGCTTGTGAAACACGCAGATCCTGAGGCCCCACCCTCAGGGATTCTGATCCAGGAGGCCTGAGATAGAAGCCAGCATCTGTCTTTCCACTACACTTCACAGATGATTTAGTTGAAAAGCATCAGGAGAAATACTGGAGGTGACCAGAGTGCAGGTAGATTTGTGAAACTGTGTGACAAAAGAGATAGAATCCCTGAAGCAGGAACTGGGTGTTCTGGGCATGTCACACCACTCCTAGTCAGATAGGAGGACAGATGCAGAGAGCAAACAATGGCCTCCCACAGCCTGGAGCAGCAAGGGCCACCTCAGGCTGTGTGGTAGCAGTAGTCACTGCCTCTGAGGTTCTCCTAATTCCAGAAGAGCAGCTCTGGGCCTGCTTTTATCCCAAGAATGGGTGAGCCCTAATGACACTCAATGCTCTGCATGGCTGTTCTATCCCCTAAAATGCTGAGAAATGCATTTGGAGTGGACACTGTGGCTGCTTCCTCTTACTGAGTGGTCACAGTGGTATTTGAGGTGAGAAATAACTGCCTCTAGAAGACTAGGCCAGGCCTGCAATCTCTTGATTGCCAGCCATTGGCTCAGTAAGCTGGAAATCTGGCCAGTTCTGGCCAGTGAAAGGGGAGGAAAGATAAGATGGAAGTTTCTGGAAAAGTTCTTCCTTGACTCTTTTTTTGTGTGTTTATTTTTGCTATAGGATGTATGCACTCACTGAGAGGAGACGGAGGGAGAGAAAGAAAAAGTGAGAAATCGCCACCACCACCACCAGCATACCCCCACACATACCCCGAGCACACTGCAATCCCTTCTCTTGTGATTTTGGACATGCACGCACAAGTGCTGGTTTGTTTCTTAAGCTGTTGAGTCTGGGACTCTAACCATGCAGTTGACCACGTGGGACCAGCCACTTTAACCACCATGCCACCTGGCTGACCCCTTCCTTGACTCTTCAGAAAGGTCCTTCACAGGGCAGCTTTCTCTGTCTTATGAAAAGGAGGAAGGGTGACAGCTTAGTTTTTCCAGGTGGCATTCCATGGCCACTGGGGAGGGTGAAGTGAGGAGGAAAGGATGAGAAACCAGACTTTCAGAGAAGCAGAGCAGAGAGAAGAGAGAAGAGAGGAACCAGTGTCCATGGGATGTCACTAAGCCACATCACTGGATGTAAATGGTACATTTTTGCATGATTTAATAATTAAGTCATCGGCAGCAAAAAGAACCCCAACTGATACAATCTCATAACTCTCTTCTATAATCCCCATTGGAAGGCCCGGCAACTAACAGGAGCAAAAGAATGTCCCATGGTCATGGACACTATGCTGAGAAAACCAAGTGACACCTACCATGCGAGCCAAAATCCAAACAGTACCTTGAACTTGCTAATATCTCCTAGCCAAGCCCCCATGTGCCTGGTCGAGGATGACAGAGTCTATCTTGCTACCCCACAGGATCTGCTCACCTCCTCCGGGGTGGAGACCAGTGAGCAGCTGGCCCCTTGGCTGTCGACACCACTGTCCTTCATGCTGCCCTCGGCGCAAGCTGGCTCCCCCTCAAGGATCAGGAGGCCACGCTGCTTCTGTGCCCAGATCTGGAGGAGGCTGGCCTTCTTCTCCTCAGAGAGGTTCTGCCACAGGTGGGAGATGGCCGCGGAGACGATGGGAAGCGTCACTTCCTGAGAAGAGATGATCCCATTCCCCGTCAGAAGGTCCATCGTCTGCTTGTAAAAGTTGAGATACCTGAAACAGAAGAGGCACAGCTCTCAGACCTGAAGTCTAGGCGTAGGCTCCCTTCCAAAGTCGCCACTGGCAAAGTGCAAAGTACGTGGGCCTTGCCACAGCTCCTGGGTCACCAGGGCCTTAGCCTCACTAGCCTGCATGTCCCTGACCTTGGAGAGCACAAGGCAGCTTGGGGGGCCACAAGAGACAGAGATGGATGCTCCGAGGCCCTCGCTAGCTCGTCCCGTGAAGCTCCTTGCTCTGTAGAAGAGAAGAGAAGAGCTGTGGCTGCCTCAGCTCCCCTGCCATGGGAAAATGCCTTAAAATTCGGAGGCCACGTGTGTGCGGCATGATGAGACTCCTACTGTAGCTCAGGGCTGGAAGTCAGGCTCAGATGTGGAGGGAGCCTCCTTCTTTGGGCCAGTGGGTCCAGAAGTCAACATAGCTAGAGGGGGTCTGCGTCTGTGGAAGCAGCAGTGGCAATGGTCATCTGGACCAGTTATTCACCATCTTTCTTACTACACCAGTAATGTGGTTGAAACTGGACTTTTAGGGCTTGTGTGTGTGTGTGTATGTGGATATGTCGGGGATGAGGAGCTTTAGCCCTCATAATCACCACCAGCTCCCCTAAAGCACCCCAAATAAACACCCAGTCTAAGTAAAAACAGTGTACGTGCTATATAAATGTATCCTCGAGACTATTTCTCTAGGCCCCGTCAATGCCACCCCAAACGCCTCCTACATGGAGAATCTGGAGCTTCCATGATTCAAAGCCTTATCTGAATCACTGACAAGGCCTCAGTGTAGTCCAGCTGGAGCCCTGTCCCGTCCCACAGGTGTGTGAGGACATCCTGCCTGGCCGTCCACACCGTTCAAATTCCATGAGGTCTGGTGACAAAGTGACTGGGGAGTGTAAGAGCTCCACTTTTTTCTCTTCTTCCTCCTCCTCCTCCTCCTCTTCTTCCTCTTCCTCTTGATCTTCCTCTTCCTCATCCTCATCTTCCTCTTCCTCCTCATTCTTTCCGACTGCCTCCCTTGGGTACCAGGGGACAGAACCACTCTCAAGAAACCTGTTAAAGACCAGGCTGGGTGAGAAACAGAAACAAGACAACCCAGATGAATATCCCTCATGAACACGGACACAGCTGTTCTTCACAATTTTAGCAATAATACATAGACTCCAATTTTATATATATATATATTTCATGTTATATATATAGACTTCAATTTATATATATATATTTCATATTATATGTCCCTAGGAATGTAAAGTGTGGTTTGTTTCACATTTGAAAATCAATGAATAGGAACCAGCAGTTAGTGTAATGGCTATGTCACTGGACTCCCACGTAGTTGACCACAGTTCACATCCCAGACCCGGTGGCTTAAAACTCACGCCGGGTGCATGTGCGTGCGTGCCCAAGATCCCGAGAGGAGAATGGAGGAGAAGGGATTGCAGGGTGACCATCCCCCGTGGGGGGGGATTTCTCGCTTTCTGTCTCTATGTCTCTCTCTGTCTGGCGAGCGCACGCGCCCTATAGTGAAAATCTCCCCCCCCCCCAAAAAAAAAACTCTTTGGGGCAGCAAGTGGCATGGCAGTTAAGGTGCTAGACTCCCACATGGCTGACCATAGTTTGGCAGCTTGGTAGCCTGAAAAATCACTTTGGGCACATACGCATGTGTGTCCAAGATCCTAAGAGGAGACTAGAGAAGGGATTGTGGCATGGCCCTCCCCTGGAGGAAGGGTGTGTGATTTCTCATTTTCTGTCTTTGTATCTCTCTCTGGTGAGTGCATGTGCCCCAGGGCAAAAACCTAAAACACAAAACGAAACCAAAAATACTCTTGGCAAACTTGGAATAGAGGGAACTTTCTCAACCTGATACAGGGTATCTATAAAAATGTCTATAGCTGGGACCAGCAGATGGCATAGTGGTTACATTGCTGGACTCTCACATGCCGGACTGCGGTTCAGGTCCTGGATCTGGTTGCTTCAAAATTATGCTGGGCATATGTGCATGCATGCCTAAGATGCGGGTAGGAGAAAGGAGGAGAAGGGACTGCAGTGTGGCCATGCCCCTAGGTGGTGATTTCTTGTTTTCCCTCTTACTGTATCTGTCTGTCTCTCTCAGATGAGTGCACACACCCTAAGGCAAAAACCTCTTTAAAAAGTTTATAGCTAACATCACACTTAATGTGGGCGGCTGGCAGAAGGTAGGGTTGGATGGTGGCATGGAGGCCCTATTGCTGCCTGTCTTCCTCCTCTCTCTCTCTCAGAGGAAGTAAACAACAACAACAAACCCAAGAAAGCAAAAGACATTTTCAAACCAGTCTCTCTTTCAAAGTTTGAATGTGGCATTATTCACAAGTTACTCCTATCGGCATCTGTGATACCTGAGTGTACTATGGTTCCTTTTCCTCTCTGAATTCGAATTTGAGTTTTCATAGGTTCCCATGGGACTTAGAAAGTAGTCTGAGATTAGGATTTTCCTTACTTTTATATGTATTCTCCACTGAAGCCATTCATTTTATATATACATAAAAGCAATGCTATATATGGACACTATAATCTCATTTCTCTTAAAAATTATGTGTGAAACAAAAACTAGATAGATATTCATCAAAATTAACATTGGTTTTCTTTGAGAGGTGAGATGTAGATGTATTCTTTAAAAAGTTTATAGCTAACATCACACTTAATGTGGGCGGCTGGCAGAAGGTAGGGTTGGATGGTGGCATGGAGGCCCTATTGCTGCCTGTCTTCCTCCTCTCTCTCTCTCAGAGGAAGTAAACAACAACAACAAACCCAAGAAAGCAAAAGACATTTTCAAACCAGTCTCTCTTTCAAAGTTTGAATGTGGCATTATTCACAAGTTACTCCTATCGGCATCTGTGATACCTGAGTGTACTATGGTTCCTTTTCCTCTCTGAATTCGAATTTGAGTTTTCATAGGTTCCCATGGGACTTAGAAAGTAGTCTGAGATTAGGATTTTCCTTACTTTTATATGTATTCTCCACTGAAGCCATTCATTTTATATATACATAAAAGCAATGCTATATATGGACACTATAATCTCATTTCTCTTAAAAATTATGTGTGAAACAAAAACTAGATAGATATTCATCAAAATTAACATTGGTTTTCTTTGAGAGGTGAGATATAGATGTATTTTCTACATCTTCTATGATTAGCCAAGATCATGTTTATAGATGAGAAAAAATAAATCCAATGCATGCGGTTAGAATACAATTTTTTTAAAAAGGTGAGTTCCTGCCCACAGTGCTTTCCAGTGGGTGAGCAGAACTCTGGCTGCTTGGTGTGCTGCAGGGACGGGTGAGCTGCTGAAATGCGGCACCTGTGGCTAAAGGTACAAGAGGGTAGGTTCCCCTCCTCCTGGTGCTTGCTGGATCTTACCTGTCATTTCTGGAGCACAAGTTGACATATTCTTTCTTGACCTCCTCTAGGCTGCTTGCATTCCCATCCTCCAGGTTCAAGGCCTCTATTGGGGAATTGAAGGCAAGAGTCACAAAGGGGAAAGCCAGGCCTTTGGCAGGTCTCTCCTACCTTTATGGCCCACATGGACTCTGGGTGGGTCACTGAACCTTCCAGGGGTCAGCACTGGGGAGCCTAGAATCTCATTCCCACCTCTTCTTTTAGATGAGATGCAAAAACACAGAAGATAAGAGCAAGTGTCTTCAGCAGCACTCCAGTAGAAAGCCACCCAACTTGCTCAGCCTGGTGACTCCTGCCTGTCTGGCCAGATCATAAGCTCCCTGAATAGGGTGTGACCTTGGCCTTAGCCTAAGCACAGGGCCTGGCACACAGTAGGCCTCAGTAAATATTATGTTAACTTGGTATAACCCAGTATCTGTTTTCAGTAAGAAAACCAGACCAGCCTTCTCCAGGGAGGGAGATGGGGAGCAGGTAGGGATCTATTACCTTTAAGCTTCAGCAAATTATCCAGGGTTTGTTCCATTTCCTCAATACGATCCTTCGCCCTATTCAGTACATGCCACTGAAGACAGAAACAGACAATGCTGAAAAGCCAGCCTTTCACTGCAGACTGGTTTTTGTGGACCCAGGAACCCCTTCCCCAGTCTTAGGTCATGTTCCTTAGATGCGAAGTCACATCCCTTGACCTTGTCAGTGAAAAGAATAAGAAGGTTGTTCTGATGCACAGAAGGCATGAAGTTTCATTTGTATCCTAGAAATGGAATCTCACCCAAATACCAAAGTACCCGGAAACAAGTAAGCTCCATTCAGCAAAGAACTTGTGCTACAAAAGGAGAACAGCCACATAGACCGTGTGCCAGCGGACACAGGGTGACGGAGGAGGCGCAGTCTGAGTGAATGTCAACTTCAGACTTTCACCAAGGCACAGAGCTGGACTTCTGCTCCGTTCTAACAATGCACTTCTGGCTAGGTTATATTCAATACACTCTTCTTGTAGAGTACCCTTATTCTGTATTTGCTGCATGCATGCACCCCAGACCATCTAACACCTTGTCAAATGCTGTCAACCTGAACTCCAAGTTTCTTTCCTAACCCCTGTCTTACTCCCTCTTTTCCTCCTTCCTTCCTCCCTCTCTCCCTTCTTTTCCCTCCTTTCTGTATATAACATTATTAAAGTCAATATGGTCACTGCAAGACTCTTCGAAAATGAAAAAGGCTAAATGTTGTTTGTTAGTCCGAACCCTACAGGAGTTACAAACATTTCTCAGACATGTATCAGGACAACTCTGTGCGCCAAGCTCCAGAAATTTAGAGTAAACAACAGTCCTTGTTGGCATTTTGGCAGGGAAGACAGGTGTCTTAATACAAGACAGGATTAGGTAAATGCTTAATGGGGGTTAGAAAGAAAGGGCTATGGAAATGTTCAGGGAGAAGACGATATTCCAACTGGAGGGGTCAAGAAGATTCTGTGGAGCAGGGCAGTGAGCAGAGCGAGCCAAGCTCAGTTTTGTCGTGTGCCCAGAATCCCAAAGGCAGAGCTCACTGTGTGAGCACAGAGAGAGCACCAAGAAGCAGGCTTCATTCAGGGAACTACAAGCTGTGGCCAGAGTGCAGAGTGGGCAGTGGGAGGGGACCCAGGAGGAACTAGCGGGTGACAGTCAGGTTTTCTCATTCTCAATTCCAATGGAGTCTGGTGCTTAAAAAGGAGGCTTGAGGGGAAGTGAAAGCACAGCACTCACCTGCCCCAAAGTTAAGATGAAGGGCATGACAACTCCGTGAATTGACTGCAAGATCTCTGAATACTCGGGACCAGCAGTTAGCGTAATGGCTATGTCACTGGACTCCCATGTAGTTGACTGTGGTTTGAGTCCCGGACCCGGTGGCTTAAACTCACATCAGGCGCGTGTGCGTGCATGCCCAAGATCTCAAGAGGAGAATGGAGAAGGGATTGTGGTGTGGCCATCCCCCTCTGGGGGGTGACTTCTCGCTTTCTGTCTCTCTGTCTCTCTCTGTCTTTCTGGCGAGTACATGTGCCCTATAGCAAAAACCTCCCCCCCACCACACACACACTCAAAGATCTCTGAATACTCCTTTTAGAGCAAGTTTACCTGTGCTCCTACATGGTCTGCTGTCTTTAGTCCTGGGGCTACTATTACAGTGCCAGGATCTCAGGCACGCTCTTAGAGCAAGAAGATGATTCTCTGACTGCTATGATCTGAATGTTGGTGTCTCCCTCAAATTCGTATATTGAAACTCAATACCTCAAGGAGTTGGTATTAGGAAGTGAAGCCTTTTGGAAGGTGATTGAGTGAGGAGGGCAGAACTCTCTTGAATGAAATTGGTGCCCTAACCACAGAGGCCTCAGGAAGCTTGTTCAGCCCTTCCACCATGTAAGGATGCAGCAAGAAGGGACCGTCTATTAACCAGAGACTGAGCCTTCTCCAGACACCGAATATGCTTGCACCTTGATCTTAGACAGCCTAGCCCCACAGAACCGTGACCAATAAACTGTTGTTTACAAATTACTCAGACTAAGGTATTTTGCCATAGCAGCCTGAGTAGACTAAGACACTGGCCCTCTTACCCTAAGCAAGTAGGCTGCGTGGGCTCAGGATGATCTCCTTCATGATCACCTTGTAGCCTTTACTGCATCAGAATGGATCCAAACAGGCAAGACCAAGTGCAATGAAATGAAATTCTTTTTCCAGAATATTTTTGGCAGGCTAATTTTCTTAGGGCCTTTATTCTAGGTTGAATCGTGTCATCTCAAAAAAGATATGTTGAAATCCTAACTGCTGGCATCCATGAATGTGACTTTATTTTCAAATAGGGTCTTTACAGAGGCAATCTAGTCATAGTTACCAGGAGGCCATTAGAGTAGGTTCTAATCCAATATGGTTAGTGTCCTCAGAAACAGGGGGAGATTTAGACACAGAGATGGACTCACAGCAGAAAAATGATATGAAGACATGTAGGTAGATGACCATGTGCTTGGAGTGATGGTCTACAAGCCAGGAACACCAAGGATTGTTGGGAAATGCCAAAAGCTAGAAGAGGCAAAAAGCAATTCTCCCCTGGAGCTGTTGGAGGGGATACAACCCTGTGGACACCATGATCTTGGACTTTCAGCCTCCAGAACTGTAAGACAATACATTTCTGTTTTTTAAGCCACACAGTTTTCCTTTTTGTTATGGCAATCTTAGGTAACTAATAAAACCTTGTGACACCATTATTCCTATAAAATAAATTCTTTCTTTATGGAAAATCCTGGGATTTTCAAGCAGGACAGAGAAAGAAAGAACACTTGGATTCCAGGCTATTTTTTGGCTGTGCCATTTAGGGTAAGTAATTTAACTCTCTGGAGCCTCAATTTCTTGATCTGTAAAATAAAGATGATAGGAATAGAGTTGTGGGGTATAAATGAGGTAATACATTGGGAACTATTGGGTTGTCGGAAAAGTTATGATGCATTTTTGCACATAAAAATAAATATGTCATGACTTTTCCAACGACCCATTAGCACTTAAAACACTTAGAATGTGGCGAGCAGGTGGCATAGTGGTTAAGGTGCTGGACTCCCACATGACTGACCTGGACCCAGTCCAGGACCCAGCAACTTAAAAAATTATGCTGGGTAGTGTGAGTGCTTAAAATCCCAAGAGGAGACTGGAGCAGAAGGGTTTGAGGCATGGCCATCCTCCCTGGGAAGCAATTTCTCACTTTCCCTCTCTCTATCTATGGTGAGTATATGTGCTCTATGGCAAAAACCTAAAAACCAAGAAAAAACAAAAACAAAAACAAAACACTTAGAACATTGCTGTGTCTTTTCATGAAATTATCTTGCATGAGCTTAACCCCACCACAGGGTTAAACCCCACCACAGGCCTAGAAGGAAGCCTTTACTATCAACCTGCTTAGCAGATACGTAAACTGAACCTCAGCAAGGAACTTGCCTCACACCCACCAAGGCCAGTTAGCAGTCATGCTCCAAACTGTAAAGTCATGAGGTACAAATTTGAGGGGATGCAAGCCAGATTCCTCTGGATTTATGTGCATTTCCTACTGTGAGATCCTGAATGCCTGTCTTTCTTCCATTGTGCTGCCAGCCTGTGCACACTTCTGCACAAGCCAGTGGCTGGGACCTTAGATCCTGTGTACTCTAGGCAGCATGCAGCATGTACCGTTCATCCAGTGGACATGGAGCCTAGAACATTGTTACACTGGACAGGGTCTTTGTGAGAGGCCCAGATGTGGGTTCTCTCCCCTGGTCCTGGCCCGTGAGCCCTTGGGCCTGGCTTAGCAACGAAAGGAAGAACAGCTACCTTCCCTCCCTATAATGTCCTTCTACAAGTGCAGGGAGATCTCCGCAGGATTCTTTCAGCTAGAACAAATAGAGTCCTGCAAAATGGTCTTTCTTGGAAAATGCTGCCCTGTTGCAAGCATTAGTTCAGGAAGGAAAACCCACTGGCTTGAAACAGTTGTAGGGCAACAGAGGTGGATGGTGGAAAGAGGGAGTTTCCACCCTTAAGTTGGAGTGGGACCAGGACCTTTTCCTGGCCACCAACCAGTTGACAAGTCTTTTCTCTACTCTGGTTCCTTCCTCTGTTAGAAAAGGGTAAGAAACTAGTGGCTCTCCAGGGACTCTGGCCTCCTACCACACTTCTACTCTTACCATGAGCTCCATTCCTCTACCACTGCCCAAATCAACCAAACCTTCCTCCATGCTCTGCCAGCTAATAAAATAATAATTAATGAAAATATTGCTAATTACCAATAAAAAAGCCATATGAGGAGAAAGGCAAAACTAAGAGTGGGAAAAGATAATGCTTACCTGGCGAGCACTAGGGGAAAGACATGGTGCACAAAACCCGAGGGGTAAACAAGTGTGTGTGTGTGTGTGTGTGTGTGTGTGTGTGTGTTCATGTGTGATGAGTGTGCGTGGTGAGTGTAGGGTATGTGCATGTGTGGTAGTGCTATCATGCAGGCATGTCCAAGCCTGTGGTTTGTGCATGTGTGTGTGTGTTGTGGCACATGCATGCATGTGTGTTTGTGGTAACATACAGGGCCCTGGGGTAGCTGCTGGAGGCTTGCAGCTGCCTCAGGTGGGATGAGCACAGAAGTCACCTAACCAGGGCTTTCCCCAGGCCCATTACTTCTCTCCCGCTGCCCAGCTGGCCTGCAGTAGGCAGATAGGTTGGCTCTCACACTTTACCCGTGTACAGCAGCACGGGCAGAGAGTCACAGGCATCCACACTGACCGCTGACCACATCCAGGCCTCAGCCCTGGGGTAGGGGACAGCAAGGAGGAAGCTCTGGGCCAGGATCCACATTGTTCCACAGGTGAGGAAATGGCTCCTCCCTACACCAAGGTCCCCATACCTTTGAAGCTGTGAGGTCAGAGGGGGAGTAAACAATCTTCCTGAGGTTACTGAAGAGCCCTGCCAGGGTGGCTCGGTGGCGGGCCTGGGACAGGCGTCTGCGGGCCACCCTCGGCTCGAGCTCCTGTAGTTGCGCTGGTGGTTGGGGCGTCATTATGCCACGGGAGTTGCTGCCTTCTCCAGAGGTTGCCATTATAAGCTGCAATGTAATCGTATGTGTTTTTTGTATTCTAAATAATAAAGATACAGTATTAAAGAAAAGGAAAGGTGGATCGAGCAGACAGATAAGGGAGTATCCTTCCCAAGTAAAAGGCCCCAAATGAATGAGCATAATCAATAGCAGATACAAAATAAGCCACAGGAGGGACCAGCAGTTAGTGTAATGGCTATGTTGCTGGACTCCCACATAGTCGACCTCGGTTCAAGTCCCGGACCTGGTGGCTTAAAACTCATGCCGGGCGCATGTATGTACGTGCCCAAGATCCCAAGAGGAGAATGGAGAAGGGATTGCGGGGTGGCCATCCCCCCTGGGGGGTGATTTCTCGCTTTCTGTCTCTATGTCTCTCTCTGTCTGTCTGGCGAGCGCACGCGCCCTATAGCAAAAACCTCTCCAAAAAAAAAAAAAAAAAGAAAAGAAAAAAAAGAAAGAAAAAAATATAAGCCACATGACATGACATAAAATCTGCTATTGAGGCTTAGCTCCTAAAAACACAAGTCACCCATATTGGACTCAGAACTTGGGGACACTTCCTTCTGTCTACCCTAGGAATTTTCTAGCACATCACAGGTGCTCATCAGACACTTAATAATTTCTGTGGCCAGACAGCAGCCATCCCTGAGGTCTCAAGCTTTACATTTTGTAAGCTGAAGAGGTACACGCCCCACCTTGTAAGTCCTGTCCTGCCTTAAGAATGGCCCCTCTTTGATCTGGGCAGTGGTTATACAGGTGTAAACAAGTGGGGAAAAAATCCCTCGAGGTGTGCACTTTTGAGCCATGACCTTTTCTCTCTCTCTGTGTGTATAATACTCAATAAAGAAAGAAAAGAAGACAATGCCCTCTACTACCTGTGAAAGCAAGAAGTCACCTTACAACAGAGAACTGGAAGAGGATTTGCCTCGTCTCACTTCTGCTGGGTTTGTAAGACGACCATTTTGTTTTTGTTTTTATCACATCTGAGCTTGTGAACTAGGAATGGTTCCCTAGGTGAGGTAATTTTGGGACCGATATGGAATAGCTTTAATAAGAGACAGGTTCTAGTGCCTCTTACCTGAGCCATGGACCCCTCCTCAGGTGCTCACCTATCTCTCAGAGGAGTGTTGCTTTCCACTAGCCTCTTGGCTCTTTGAACAGAAAAGCTGTATCTTTTTTATCACCTCTCTAACCCCAATGTCTAGCACAGAGTCCACCCCGTGACAGGTCATTAATGCTGGGGTTTTAGGTGAATTAGAATGGGAGGTCTCTGTGGGTCCTTCTCCCCTGCCCTCAGTCCTGCTGTGCATAGCCTTGGCCAGATTTGTCAGGTTTATTGTATGTCAGAATCACTTCTGACATAGCCAGACCCTGCCTCAAAAATGCTGCGTCTGAATCTACTAGCACCTGTATGGGCAAACTGCTCCCAGGTATTCTTTACTTTTGTGAGTTGACAGCCACCACTAGGGCACTGTTATGGTTTGGATAATGGTTTGTTCCCCCCAAAGTTTATGTTTTGGAATGGTCTTAGTGGGCAGGAATTGGATGTTCCCCAAAAGTTCATGTGTTGGGACTTGGTTGTACTAGGAAGATGTCAAGTGAAAACGTAATCCTTTCACAGTGGCCCAGGGTGGGGCCTCTGGGTGGTATAAGGTCACTAGAGTGGGGCTGCCATGATCCAGCTCTGGTGGGCACATAAGGTGAGGATGGGAGACCAGTCGTAGGCCACAAGGATACAGCTAGGAGTACCTTTTGGACAGTTGTTCTGCTCAAGATCCTGCTCTCTACCATGTTCTAATCTCACCAGAAGTTGGCCCCTGGCTCCCAGCCCCCAGCCCTTCAAACCAGGAGCTGAGTAAACTTCTGTTTCTTTATAAATTCAAGCAGTCTCAGATATTTCTGTTAGTAATGCACTAATGGACTAAGACAGGCACCACAGTTGGCACAGCTGAAAACAGACTCTCCTCCATAAAGCGAATAGTGGGGGAGGGAGATGGAAGAAAACTTTCCCACTACAACTTTCCCAGCCAAAGACATAGTGATTCCAGTGAGGCAGTATGGGGGTTTTACAACACTTTTTAGGTTCGAGAGCAAATCTCTCATCAACACTGTGGTCCTCTCCAGTGTATCAACTTTCCCTCACTTTGCTTCTCAGAACAGTGGTGGAAAGATGGTAACTGGATGAGCTGTAGTTACCTGTGCTGATCCCTGCCAGCCTCTGGACATGCATTACAGGGAGTTAAGCGTAGTACCTTCTGAGGAGGACAGTTGCAGAATCTGCACAGGTCCCTAGAGCCTAGCTCCAGGGCCTTATTAGACTAGAGGTCACCTGTATAGTCTCCACTTCCCAGACACCAGTCTTTAGCAGAAAGCAAAGTGAAACAGTAAAGGGTTTGAACTGCCTAGGGGAAAATGAGTCTTTAGAACCTATGCATGTAGTTTTCTGTACTTGTTTAAATTGAAGAGACACAGTTGTGCTACCTGGACACCTGGAACTTGAGTCAACATATATAAAATAGAAGCTGATGAGAAGGAGCTTCTACAACTCTATGGGAAATAGCTGGATGGCTTTGCAGTTTCAGTCAGCGGATAAGGGTGCAACCCTCACCTCCTCCCCAGGGGCAGCTTTCTCATTACTTGCTGCCTCTGAGGGCAGCCAGGGCTGTCAGCCTTCACTGTCAGCCTCTTGGGGTGGGCTCAGCCCCAGGGCGTCCTGGGAAGCTGCCTTGAGCTGTGCTCTCTCCTCCTCTGCCTCAGGCGCCCCTTAGGAGTTGAGGAGATTTCTCCCCCTCTGGTGTGGGGAGGAAAGATACCTCAGGGAAAATGGGAGACCATCCTCCCACTCAGCTTTAAGGGAAGAGTCTGACCAAGTACATGTCAAACTTAGTTAGATCTTGTGTGATTTTTAAGTATTCTCCCTCTACATTTTGCCTCCTGTTCCCACTAGAAATCATTTTGTGGTGATCTCCAAAAGGCATTTTTTCCATTACCTTTATTGACATGGAATTTTGCTTTCTTCTCTGTGGCCCTGATAGTTTTCCAACAGAGTTCTTTGTTGCAATAATATCACTGGGTCTGCCCTGTCAGCACCTGTGATTTTGTGTGAAGGTCTGGCTCACACACAACAGTGCCATAGAAGTCACTCTCTGGGGTAGGGGAGGGGAAGGCAGGACCCTCAGCCCATTCCAAGGTTAGCTCTTTTGCTAGGACAAGGGAAATGGAACTTATTGTGAAAGGGGGAAAATAATTATTATATTGTAAAGATGAGATCAAGAAATGATCTTGCATTTAAAAATAAAACCCTTTTTTCTTTTCCCTAAAAGCCCTTTGCATATGCAAACATGTTATAGAAATACCTAGAAGTATAAGAAATTAATGTAGAGATAAGAGTCTGGAATTCCTCCCCTGGGGGTTGGAAGTCTGCATTTTAATAGCCATCAAAGCTCAGAATCTCCCAATTTCCCCTTTTTGCCTCTCATATATATATATATTTTTTTTGACGAAATGAACTTTCTCCTGCCCACTAGCTTCTATTCTATGGCCCTTTTCTGTCACCTATAATGTCACTTCAATCTGCCCATCCCCCCACCAATCTCTGGTTTCTACCTGTCTAGTGCTAACTTGTTCTTTAATTCTCAGTTTTAGCCTCATTTCCTCGGAGAAGTTTCCCAACCCTGGGCTTCTTATTTTGCCAATAAATCAGTAAGATCCTTGGTCAGGATCCATGTATCAAGCATTGTGGTGTTCTCCTCCACCTCACATCAGAAGGACAAACCTCCTGGGGGTAGGGGAACCCTGTGCAGGCATAAAAGATGAACTCAAATGCTTCTTTTCTTGGCTACTTCTCTCAAACTAAAATCACTGGGAGTTCTATTGCTTGAACTGCCAAGGTAAAAGCTCCCAGGCCTGGGGATGAGTAGATTGAATGAGCTAAAGGAAAATGAAAAAGATTAAGATAAAAACTGAGGAAAAGTAACTTCTTAGTTCCACCCTAACAGAAAAAAAAAAAAATCTCTCGAGCATTTACTGTCTCATGAATTCCATTTTTGGCAAGATTCCCAGAGAGAGGGAATACATATGAAAAGTTTAAAAAAGCCTTTAAAGTGATGCTGCTGGCCAGTGACTATATAAGAAAGGTAATGGGGCCGGCCAGTACCATGGTGGTAACAGCAGTTGGATCCCATTTGGTTCACTGCTCGGTTTGAGTTTCAGACTCAGTGGCTTGAAAATCACGCCAGGCATGTGTACATGTTTGCCCAAGGTCCCCAGAGGAAAATGGAAGAAAAGAAATAGTAGTATGACCATTCAATCCCCTGGGGGGATTTCTCACTTTCCCCCTGTCTCTCTGTATCTGTCTCTCTCAGGTGAGAGCATGCAAACTAAAAAAGAAAAGAAAGATAGGGAGAGATTAAATAGAAACAAGAACCTGGATATCCTATCCTACCTCTGGACCCTGGGCATGTTTGGAGAGATGTGAATACTTGGACATTTAAAACATGTGAGAATTGAGGGAACTCAGTACAGAGATAGTTGTTTGAAGGTAGTTGACTTTTAAAAAAGAACAATTTTATTTAACTTTATTTATTTATTTATTTATTTAAATTTGACCAGAGAAAGACAGAGCAAGAATGAGAGAGAGAGAAAGTGAGAAAGCAAGCTTCCAGGTCCAGGACTCAAACTGTAGTCGGCCATGTGAAAGTCCAGCTCCCTTAACCACCATGCAACCTGCCGGCCCTGAAGCCAGCTGATTTTTAAAAATCCAGGGCTGATGAAATGATGCAGGGACATATTCAGAGATGATCTGTGGCCAGTGGATGAACTGGTGTTGAGAAAGGCAGGCTGGATTGGTTTGAGACCTGGACCATGACTTTTGCTTTAAATTTACCAGCCATAGTGACTTTGGTTGATCCACAAAACCTCTCTGGATCTAAATTTCTTTTTTCTTTGTATTTCCTTTTTTTTTAAAGAATTATTTATTTAATTTATTATTATTATTATTCATTTTTAACTTGCTATAGTCATGAGAGAGAGAGAGAAAGAGGGAGAGAGGAAAAGTGAGAAAGCAAGTCTCCAGGTCTGGGACTTGAACTACAGCCTGCCACGTGGGAGTCCAGAGCCCTAATCACCATGTCACCTGCTGGCCTCAGATCTTAATCTCTTTAACTGTATAAAGAAGGTGAAAATTTGGGGACCAACAGTTAGCGTAATGGCTATGTTGCTGAACTCCCATGTAATCAACCACTGTTCGAGTCCTTGACCCAGGGGCTTAAACTCATGCTAGGCGCGTGCCCATGCATGCCCAAGATCCTGAGAAGAGAATGGAGGAGAAGGGATTGCAGTGTGGCCATCCCCCTGGGGGGTAATTTCTTGCTTTCTGTCTCTCTGTCTTTCTGGCAAGCACACACACACCCTACAGCAAAAACCTCTCCAAAAAAAAAAAAAAGTGAAAATTTATTAACTAGATGGTAGTCTAAACTTTCTCACTTTTCAAAGGTCGTGGGCATGATTCTGTGACTATCTGAAGCAAGGGCAAGCAGCACGAGCGTCTCATGTTCCGGCAGAAGTGAGGTGGGAAGCACACAGTAGTGTGAGAAGTTGTTTCTTAAAAGGAATTCTAGGGACTTAGTTCAACTAAGTGTTTACTAAGGAGTTTTTCTCTGTGCAAAGCCCATTCATTCTGCGGAAAACTGGAATCACAAATAGTATCAGGCATTTCAGAATGGCCATAGCTCTAATACATTTTTCCTTTCATGAATTCCGTGCTGTGTTCAGCCTTGTTCATGAGATCAGCCTGCCAAGCATAACTTTTCAATCTGACAAAGTTAGATTAGGAGCTTCACAGATGCGTTTTTCTAAAAGGGTATTTTATGAGGAGACACGCGATCACATGCCTTATTTTTGTTACTTTTCATCCAAAAAACAAAGCACACTTTCATTACCAAATACTTTCATATTAAAACACCACTTAATACCCACTTAGAGCTGATAGGTGAAAAAAAAAAACTCCCTAGACTAAATTTCACCAAAATAACCCCACCTTCTCCAAGTTTCAGAGAAATTTTCATTCATTTTTAAGTGTTACTCCACAAAACATTTGAAAATGATCCATCCTCATTAGCATACCTTAGGTGAACACATATACAATACATTAGATAATGTACTGCAATCCACTGGTAGCTTCTTTGACCCCCTATGCATGTCAAATTATGAGGGGAAAAATGTCTAAATCATTCTCCAGTATGTTGGTAGTCAAGCTAGCATGCAAATGCTCACATGAAGTCTGGTCCCAGATGTAAACGCTCACCTGTTTGAAATTCGCATAGGCATGAATTTGCATGCCCAAGGACACCTTTCTGGAGAAGAGTGGGTAATGGATACTCACCCACGGAGGAAAGTGGGCACCGGTGCACACTACGTCCCCACTCCTGGGACATGCGGGAGGCTGCCCCAAGCCCTCACAGCAGTCATGGGCTTCTCACGCCCAAGTGGAGACCACAACTCCTGCCGGGGGCAGAAAATAGACCTGACACCCAGCGCACGGGCAGGAACCAATCAGGGCCCTGTCCCCAGTCCACACAGCCAATGGGAATGTGCTGTGGCAGCCAATAGGAGAGCGGTAGCGGGAGAAACAGTGTAATAAGTTGTCCTAGGCGACATAGAAGGACAGGGAGAGAGGGGTGAGGAGCGGGGCTGACCTTCTCACCTTGCGGGGTCACCCAGGGGACAGGGAGGGATTCCTGTGTCAGTCAGCAGCTCAGGGGCTCCACATGTGCCCACAGAGGGCTGAGGGGATGACCTCTAACTGCACTGCTCTCCTGACGCTCAGCCCCAGCTTTCTCATCCCTCAAATGGGGCAATACCACCTACCTCACAGGGTTATCCTGAGGGTCAGAGAGGACACCTTCAATGTAGGAGCCAGAGGACCAGGCTCCATCTCTCAAGAAAAAAAAAAAAAAAAAGACAAAAAATGGATTTGTGAAGGAAACTGATGCATAAAAGGGAGAGAGGAGTCATGATGGCTAAATAAGGCAGGAGGAAATGCAGGGACTTGTGGAAGGGAGTAAGAGGGCTTACTTACTGGGCTGTGCCACCTCAGCGCCCCTGGTCTGTGCCACCTCAGAACCTTCGTGTAGAGGAAGAAGCATGGCACATGCTAGGCTTCCCCTTGCAGCTGTCTGACTTCAGTGAGCTCCTTCCCTCCTGGGACTGGAGTGACACAGAGGTCACACAACTTAGCAGAAGTAGTAGGGGCTTTGGTGGCCCATGAATTTGAGCTCCAATTCATGGTCTACTTCCGAGTGACTGTGAGGCAGACCCTTCTTTCCTCTCTCCTTTCCTTCTTTCCTCCTTCCCTCCCTTCTTTCCTTCTTCCTTCCTTTACTTTTTCATATCCAAGTATGCAATAGGTATTTGGCATGTGGTAGACACTCCTAAAATTTAATGTCAGTGACTCAAAGATTCATTTTTTTAAGAATTATTTTATTTACCTTTATTTTAGTTTGACAGGGGGCAGGGGGAGAAAGAGAGAGAGAGAGAGAGAGAGAGAGAGCGAGCGCAAGCAAGAAAACAAGCTGCCAGACTGGGACTCAAATCGCGTTTGTCTATGTGGGAATCCAGTGCCCTTAACCACCACACTACCTGCTGGCCCCCACATGTTAATTTTTAAGATTTTGGGAGGGCCAGCAGGTGGCGTGGTGGTTAAGGCGCTAGAATCTCACATGGCGGATCGCAGTTCGAGTACCAAACCTAGCAGCTTAAAATTCACACCAGATGCATGTGGGTGCATGCCCAAAATCCCAGAAGAGAATAGAGGAGAAGAGATTGTCACATGGGCATCCCCCCCTGGGGAGTGATTTCTCATTTTCTTTCTCTGTCTCTCTTTTTCTCTCTCCAGTGAGCACACACACATGCTCTATGGCAAAACCCTAAAAATAAATAAATAAATAAATACAATTTAAAAAAGAAAATTTGCAGGAATATTATGTTAATGATGTTCTGTGTATAAAGAAGCTGTCATGTAAAATCGTCTAGTTAAGAGTCAATTCTTGGGAACCAGCAGTTAGCGTAATGGCTATGTTGCTGGACTCCCACGTAGTCGACAGCGGTTTGTGTCCCAGACCCGGTGGCTTAGAACTCACACCGGGTGCATGTGCGTGCGTGCCCAAGATCCCAAAAGGAGAATGGAGGAGAAGGGATTGCGGCATGACCATCCCCTCTGGGGGGTGATTTCTCGCTTTCTGTCTTTATGTCTCTCTCTGTCTGTCTGGTAAGTGCACGTGCCCTATAGCAAAAACCTCTCAAAAAAAAAAAAAAAAAAAAGGAGTCAATTCTCTTCTCTTTCAAGGTGACTTTAACACGTTCATTTCACTCCAAAATTCTGCCTAGGCTAGGGCCCATTCCTTCTGGCTCTCAGGGAGCCTCTGACCAGGGTCTTTGAGGACCTAGAGGTACTTCTCCCACCCTCACGTGTTGATCTCTTCTGACCCTGCCTGCATTCCCCAACAGCTCCACTTGCAGCACTTGCTAGGGCCTGTGTGAACAGAGATCAAGGAGTGTGCCAAGCTCTGACTTGGAGAGCCTTACTTGACTTGGAGAGGAAACTGACTTCTGGCCTGCTCCAACCCTTTTTCCAGTTACTCTTCACCCTACCCCTCACCTACTGTCAGACACACAGATGCCTTCCTGGACGTGTCTCAATGGGGAGCAGACCTGCACCCAGAAGAAATACAGTACTGCAGTGGCATGTCCTGAGAAGCTTTCTAGTTGGAGGAACGGCCTGCTAAACTTGTTCTCCACTGTTGTTTCTATTGCATGTGCTAAAAGGCAGGGGCTTCAGATTTTACCATTTTTTAATCCTCCAAACTTAATGAGAGTGATGGGTCCAGTATTGAGAATCTACTGTGTTCCTAGTCCTCATGGACAACCCCGTGAAGAGTCTTAGCTCCAATTTATAGATGGGGAATCCATACTCAGAGAGGACCAGTGATTTGCCCAAAGTCTAAATATCTCGGATTCTCTCTGGTGCTCTCCTCTTCATGCTTTCTTGGATGGCACTTAGTTCAATAAGTATCAACTACCTTAGGCTAGATAGACATGTGTTTGATTTTTTTAATTTTCAGAAGATCCTCAGCTTTGAACTGAGGTCTGTGAACAGTGGCTTCTAGGAAGGAACTAGACAGGTACAGACACAATGAAGGGGTGTACTTTCTGACTCCAGTTAAGGGCTCCCAGAAATTCTGCCAAGATAAACCTGAGACACTATCCTAGATGGGCTTTTGTCCACTGCGCCCTATGTACTGGACCAGATCATGGCTTCTAGAAGAGCCTGTGGATACACAAACTCCTTTATGGGGAATGGGCTTTGATGGGTCAATATGGCTGGGAAGAAGCAGTGTGCACCACAGTGGTTGGGACAGGGTGTTCTTCTTTTGAAGGAAAGGACCATTTAGCTGGTTAAAAGGACAGGGACAGTTTTTTAGACTCCAGCCACTCCCTTACAAAGGGAGAGATTGCAAACCACAAACTGTTGCAATGCAAAATGCACATGTATTCTCTGAAATAGGCACAGATACAGAACTTGAAGCAGAGAGAGAGGCTGCTAGATTGGCATGATGAAGAGAAAACTGACCTCCTGAGAAATGGGCATCATAATCACTATGACCAAAAAACACTACCCCCTCTTTTTAAATTTTTTTTTCTTTTTGCTGCATTCACCTAGTTGCTCTTAATGAAAAAAGCAACACACTCATGGTTGTAGCAAAATTCGAATAGAGTAAGACAGTGTATTGCACATATTAAGTCTCTATGATAGGAAATTTTTGTTGTCAACTTGGCTAAGCTACAGCACCCAGTTTTTCATCAATATAGGTGTTTCTGTGATGGTAAGTTGTAGATTAATATTTATAATCAGTTGTTTTTTTTTTAATTGTCAGAGGACACATATGCTTGACAGACAGAGAGCGAGACCTCCTTCAGTAGGGCATGGTCATGCTGCAATCCATTTTTCTCCATTTTTCCATGTTGCAGGAATTTGGGCACACATGCATATGTGCCTGGCATGTTTTTCAATCTACTGGGTTCAGGATTACAATTGCAATGAGCCATGTGTTTTTCAGTTACCTTAGCCACTGTGCTATGAGCTGGCCCTACCATCAGTTGATTTAAACTAAAGGGGATTACCTTGGATAAAATAGGTGGGCCTTATCCAATCAGTTGAAAGACTTAAAAGCACAAGTGGGACTGTGACATAACCACAGAGATGGGTCTCGCAGGCACAGGGCAATCTGGGTAGATACTGGATAGATGGATAGCTAGCGTATATGCCATCTTCAAAGGATAGTGAGAGTTACAGATGGGGTCAGTGTCCCAGATGCTCATACAAGGAGATATAGATGATTTCCCCATGAGAAGCACTTGATGACCCCCTCCAGACAGTGGAAAATGGGGTGGAGAAAGTCCCGAAGAGGATGAGGATGACAATGAAGTGTTGGAAGATGGAGGGTTCACACTAGCATGAACCATGACAGAAAAGCCAAGGAGAGGATAGGAGAGAGAGGGGGAGAGGAAAAGGGAAAAGGAAGTGGCAGGGACGATCTGCCTCAAGTATTGTAGAAGGTGAAAATGGGAGTGGAGAGGGCATGAGAGTTGGTTTTTATTAAGTGTGGCATCAGAAATGGAATTCCCCCATGCTGCCCTGCAGTTGATGTCTGTGAAGGCCATATTACTTATTAACCTTGCAGACTTGAATTGTTCTAGCAGTGAAAGTGAAGAACTTTATAGACTCATAAACCTATCCATTCCCACCACTATCAGCCTAATGGCATGATTGGACATCACTGTGTTTGCAAATAGGGACTTTGCTGCCTTTTGAGGTGGAAGTCAGTGGCTAGGGGAAGTGACAAGGCATCACTCCAATTTGAGACGCTCCTAAAGAAAATACAGTCATAGTCTGAGATCTGAAAGAAGGTAGTTCACTTTCAGTCTTTAGATCCATTATCTCTAAGCAGACAGACCAGGGCTACCGGCCTGTACTTTGTAACCAGCACAAGACCTAGAGCTAGAAGGAGCTCAGGGTCCCTCTGGTCCAAAGTCTGTACTGCAGAGGAGGAAGCTGGGGCCTGAGAAATGACATTGCCAACCTGATCATTAGACTTCAGGTGCAGAAGATAGTGAGAGGGCAAGTGAGAAATCACCACCCAGAGGGATGGTTATGCCTCGACCCTTCTCCTCCATGCTTCCTTCAGGATTTCAGGCATGCATGCATACATGCCTAGTGTGATTTTCTTTCTTTCTTTCTTTCTTTCTTTCTTTCTTTCTTTCTTTCTTTCTTTCTTTCTTTCTTTCTTTCTTTCTTTCTTTCTTTTCTTAAGAAATTTTTGCTATAGGGCATGTGTGCTCATTGAGAGAAAGAGAAAGGGAGACAGAAAACAAGAAATAATGCCCTGGGGGGGCATACTCAATCCCTTCTCCTCCATTCTTCCCCCTGAGATTCTGGGCACACATACACATGTGCATAGTCTAAGTCTCAAGCCACCAGATCTAGGACTCAAACCTCGTTTTCCCTTATAGGAGTCTAGCACCTCAACCAGTACACCAGCTGCTGCCTGACCACACTCTCTCCCCCAACCAGTGTGATTTTCAAGCTGCCAGGTTCAGGACTTGAATAGGGATTGACCATGTGGGAGTCAAGTGCCTTAACCTCCATACCACCTGTTGGCCCCTGTCAGTTGCTTTTTAAAAAATTGTTTAACTACACCTATGCTTGCCAGAGAGAGAAAGAAAGAGAGGGAGAGAGACAGAGAGAGAGAAAGAGAAAGTATCCTCCCAAACAGGGTGTGGTCATGCTGCAAACCTTTTTCTCCATTTCTCCATCCTGTTGGGATTTGGGGCACAAATGCACATGTTTAAATATTGTGAGGGGCTGCTAGTTGGTAAAATCTTTATATACATTGGTACTAAGATATGGTTGTTACGATAAACGAATGGGCTGTGATTAAAGATTACATTTGTTATATTTGTAAGTTACAAAATTAATGTGTTTATTGTAATGAATTTGAAAAACATTAAAAAGTCAGAAATCACCCATTAAATCTAACACCTCTACTACCTAGAGCCAATGATTGTTAATATTTGTGTGTGTGCATATATAATATCAAAATGTCAATAAGGCAAGAGTATTGCATCTACAATTCTATATCTGCTTTAAAATGATATCATTTCAATATAACCATAGATTAATATACAGTTATAAGAAATAAAACTGAGAGATTTCATGTATTTTTTTTTTAGAGAGATTTTGCTATAGGGCATGTGTGCATTCACAGAGGGATGGCCATGCTGCAATTCCTTCTCCATTCTCTTCTCAGGATTCTAGGCATGTACGCACACATGCTGGTGTGAGTTTAAGCTGCCGGGTCTAGGACTTGAACCGCGGTTGACTACGTGGGAGTCCCTCAACGTAACCATTATGCCATCGGTTGGTCCCGATTTCATGCATTCTTTACTCACTTTTCTCCAATGGTAACATTTTACAAAAATAATGACAACCAATATCACCACCAGGATACTGACATTCACAATCTACTGATCTTATTTAGACTTCCCTATTGTATGTGTGTGTGTTTAGTTGTTTACAATTTTATCACATGTGTAGTAGGTTTGTACACCCATAACACTGTCAAGATGCAGAACAGGGGCCAGATGGTGCAATGCTCTGTGAGGCAATCCCATATGGGGAGATTCCTGGTTCAACATACTCCCTGAGTATATTGGGTGAGTTGGTTGCCCATGATCCAGGGCTGGCCGAGGGCTAGGGTGGATCACAGCACTGAGGTCCTATTGAGGATGCCATCTCTCTCTGTCTCACTCATGGAAGAGACAAATAAATACATTTTTGAAAATGCAGAACAATTCCATCACTACAAGGACTCCTTGTGTAACACACGTTTGTTTATTTACTTATTTATTTTATTTTTTCCAGGGGGCATGTGTATTTGCTGGAAAGAAAAGGAGAGAAAGCATCCCCCCCACCCCAATGAGGGATGCTCACCCTGTAATCCTTTCTGCTCCATCTCTCCTTTCTTTTGGAATTTTGGGCATGCACACGGAACCCTTTAAATGTAACCCTTTAAAAAATCATACCTCCCTCTCTTTCCCCTCTTCCTCCGTCCCTTAGTATGGCAATTACTAATACATTCTCCACGTTTAAATTGCATCTTTTCAAAACTGTTATATAAATGGAATCATGTGTTGAAAGACATTTGGATTGTTTCCAGTTTTAAGTATTATGAACAAACATTTGTATACAGGTTTTTATGTAAAGATCTAAGTTTTTATTTTTCTGGGACAAATGCCCAAGAGTGTGGATTACTGGTTTATACAGTATTTGCAATGTTTTGTTTCGTAAGAAACTGCCAAACTGGTTTCAGAATGGAAACCATAGATTTTTTTTTTTTTGAGACTTTTGCTGTAGGGCATGTGTGCTTGCCAAAGAGATAGAGAGACAGAAAGCGAGAAATCCCCCTCCCTCCCCGCCAGAGGGGACGGTCATGCCACAATCCCTTCTCCATTTCCCTCTTTGGATTTTGGGCATACACGCGAGCACATGTGCCTGGTGTGAGTTTTAAGCCTGGGGTCTGGGACTTGATCCTTGGTTGACTATATGGGAGTCCAGTGACGTAACCATTATGCCATCTGCTGGTCTTGTTAATCATACATTTTTAACATGTATTATGACTCTTTCTCCAAGTAACTAAATATTCTTAAAAAACAAAAATTCTAACAACTACATCATAATGTTTGGGATGGATGTTGCATAACATATGAAGATTTCCCTCAATGTTGAACATTTGGTGGCTTCACATTTCTTTTTCCCTGTTGAAAAATAGTGATAGATGCCTATGTGTGAGGAACAGGCCACCTGGAACGAGTTCTTGTAGTGACCAAGGGTGATCAGGTCCCAAAAGACTGATTTGTGCTATGTGTACTCACAGGGACTGAGGGAGACATCACAGTGCCATTTTAAAAAATATTTGAAGGAGAAGTATAACTGTCACACAGACAGGGAATGTTTGTGGTGGCATTGGCATAAATGACACCTTCTTCCACCTACACTGGAATCCTACCTGTCATAACCAGAAATTATCTTCAGTTTACCAGGAGAAAGACATGGGGATGCCACAACTCTTCCATGTAGTCAAGAGCTAGAGGAATCAGTCCATCCCTTGGTGAGCCTGGAGCCAAGAAGAGGGGCATGGATGCTCCTCAGAGCCCAAGCCTAGTCGCTCCTTTTCATCTCGGGACAGGCCTTGCCACAGAATGAACATGGGATGTCTGTTGTGATCCACCCCGCCCAGCCTCAGTCAGTCCCGATCCCCTTGGTGAGCCTGGAGCCAAGAAGAGGGGCATGGATGCACCTGGTGTGTTCAGGGAAGTGTCAGATGCTAACCAGACTCTTCCCCTATATGCTCCTGCCTGCCAAAAGTTTGCCTTTGATGATAGGAAAATCCAAAAGTAAGATTTGGTCTGGTTCTTCCAATAGTCACAGAAGTGATTTTCTTCTTTCCTCCCCTTTGAGATGAAGTTGGTTGCCTGGTGGATTTCTTAGGCCCAGTGGAGACAGGTAAAGCAGACAAGGAGGGTAGAACAGGTGTCTGATGAAGTTGGTTGCCTGGTGGATTTCTTAGGCCCAGTGGAGACAGGTAAAGCAGACAAGGAGGGTAGAACAGGTGTCTTCCTTGTTTTGCTGTGGCTCGCTCTGTGTTATCATTTTGGGTTTCTCTAGTTTAGATCAGAGCCCTTTTGGAGCTGAATTTCCATACAGTAGGATGGGAGGGTTTGAGCAAAGTAAAACAAAAAACCGTTAGAGGGAAGGAGAAAGAAAAAAAAATGCTGCATTTTTACCAACATTCCATTTCTGCTAAATGTTTTACATACATTATCTTATTAAATCTTTGTTACTACTCTGCAAGGTGGGTATTATTGTCATCATTTTACAGATGAAGGCAGTAAGGCTGAAAGATATAGCTATTTTCCTTCTAGAAATGTTATACACCTTGTAAAAACTTCAAGATATACATATATATTATATATGAATAAAATAGGAAGTGAAAATCCCTTGTGGTCTCACCTCTGAGAGAAAACAACTCTAAGCAGCCAGTGCATAATCTTCCTGAATTTTTGAAATGTGCACACGATCACGTGTATACCTTTTTCTTATCTTATCTTCCCTCCCTATTTTTTTTAAAAGAAGCTAGGGTCATAGTATAACAGGGGACTTCAAAATTTGTGGGAATATGGAATTACAGTACCATTTTGATGCAAAAAATTTTTGAATGTCATGTATAGTTTTTTCATAATAACGCATTTCCTGAACTATTTGAAGACCCCTGGTACATACGGTTCTGAAATTCGCCTTTTTCCTTTTTGCAGTGCACCGTGGCTGTCTTGCCATGTAGTAAATTAATCTTGTTAAAGGAAGCAGGGTTTTCTGGGGAGTCAGAGCTCTCTTGAAGACACACCTGTTGTGTCACTTCACCTTATAGGATTCCCGTTGTCTCATTTGAAAAGGAGGGCACACAGCAGAGGAATCCTGGACCTATTGTTAATAAAGAAGCCACCTCGCCCCCTGGCCGCCTCCTGGCTATCTGGCTATTCTCTAAAGTCCAGTTCTACTTGACTTGGGCGGTAGCCGCCACTTTAGCTAACTCGGATGACAAAGCAGCCTCTAGGGACTGGGAGAGAACTCAACCAGAAACACAGAATCTCCGCCAGCCGCGCCTCTGGTAGGGCAAGGGTGACGAGAGGGGAGGAGCTAGAGGCGGGGCTTGGGCGGGACGCCGGCAGGAGGGCGGGGCCCCAGGCGCGGAGAGCGCGGGGCGTGCGAGCTGGTAGGCTGGCCGCAGGCTCTTCCGTGGCTTCACGCACACACTGCGGCAGCTTGACGCCGAGATCAAGGCGGACAAAGAGAAGGGGTTCCGGGTGAGCAGCCTGCGGGCGCGGCGCGGCGCGGCCAGAGGTGGCCCGAGGAAGCTCGGGAACCGGCGCCCGCAGCATTGCCCTCCGGGGCGGGAGCGGCGTTGTCATCCGCACCGGGGGGGGGGGGACCGCAGACTTAGGCCTTCGCCTGGCAGATAAAGAACCCAGGCCCCGAGGTGGACGTGACTGGTCCTAAGTTGCCGGGAGAGTCAGGAGCATCGGGAGCACAGATGCCCTGAGTCCTGGTCCACGACTGTCTCCACCCCAGCCTCCCAGTAGATGCTGCCGGTCGTTAGCCAGGATGGGACGATTTTAGCAGACAGGGTTGAGAATTTCTGATCACAGAAATATTCAAGAATTGACTTTCATTGGCAGTGGGAGCAAAGAGATCTGCAGTTCTAAACGTTAGCTATGTTCAGGTATCGATGGTGTTTGTTTCAAATGGTCTGGGATTCATTTGCAATTTTGCATCAGCAATCGAGGAAGACTTCATTGCACATGTCAAAACACAAACTCCCCCCTCTGTGATGTTCTGTTAAGAGTTGTTGGAATTTGTGTGAGTGTGTGAGTTGTATGGTTGGTTGTATGTGCTGACTTGATCTGGTGTTGGCAGGTGAATTGAGAGACAAGAATGTTGGAGACAAGTTAGGAGACCTGGTTAGTGGTCATTCGGTGGCAAAAGCATGTCATTTTACCTCTCTAGGCCTCTGTGTCCCGATCTGTAAAACAGGGGCATTAGAATGGGGTTGGTATCCACCCAACAAGCAATTGGCGTAATGGCTATGCTGGATTCCCATGTAATCCACTGTGGTTCGAGTCCCGGATCCAGTGGCTTAAACTCACGCTGGGTGCATGTGCATGCATGCCCAAGATCCCGAGAGGATAATGGAGGAGAAGAGATTGCCGCGTGGCCATCCCCTTGGGAGGGTGATTTCTTGCTTTCTGTCTGTCTTTCTGGTGAGCACAAGTGCCCTATAGCAAAAAGAAAGAAAGAAGAAAAAAGAATGATGTTGGTATCCAAAACATTTTCCAGATGAGAAAAGATGTAATTTTGGGCTGGCAGGTGGCATGGTGGTTAAGGGTGCTGGACTCCCACATGGCTGAGAGAGGTTCAAGTCCCAGGCCTGGTTACTTGCTGTCTCACTTTCCTTCTCTCTCTCTCTCTCTGTCCCTCCTTGGTCAAATTAAAAATAAATAAATCAATAAAGTTAAATAAAATATAATTCTTTAAAAAAAAAAAAGGTATAATTTTACTTTGCTGTAATTGCTCCTTACAAGAAGGTGACTTCTTTGGGTGACATTCTGCTCAGCTATCGGGTCTTTGCTACTTGGTGGTGGTACTTGGTATGATGGCGGTACATGGTGGCACTTGGATGACTGGAAGGAATCGGTCAGTGTACTCCCTGTGATCCTTGGAATCCTGGAATTGTGGAGCTGGAGGAGGACCAGGGAGACTGTCTCAGATTCTTTTGCCACCCCCCCCCACACCTTTTTTTTTTTTCTTTTTCAATGTGAAGCAACTGAAATTGCAGTTGAGGTGACATTGCCAAGTTGGTCAAGTAAGTCAGGTCAACCCAAGACCTAGAGCCAGATCTCTTGCTTCCTGGACCAGAGTCCTTTTACACCTGGAATTTCACAACACAAATGTAACCTCAAAGAAACTTAGAAACTGTCACATTAATATGTTTTGAAAATTTTATAGATTACTAGCTAGATTTTTTTTTTAACATCCAGAAGTCACAGCAAGAAGGAAAAAGTTGTATGCTGTGGAGTGAAGGGGAGAACGTCTTCCTGTCCTTTAGCACCTTTTCCATCCATGGTTCTCTCGCCAGGTGGACAAGATCGTGGAACAGCTGCAGCAGTTAATGCAGGTGTATGACTTGGCTGCCCTTCGGGATTACTGGAGCTACCTGGAGCGGAGACTCTTCAGCCGCTTGGAGGACATATACAGACCCACCATCCACAAACTGAAAACCAGTCTGTTTCGCTTTTATCTCGTCTACACAATCCAGGTGCCTGTTGGCTCAAGGGTTCTGCTTCCCTTGGTGGAGAGAATCTCTGATTTAGAAATAGATTTTCTTCTGACCCATAGGGAGGACTCTGTACTGTTTAGAGAAGTAGAGCAGTCACAGGGCACAGTATTTTGGACTATTTTCCTACTATTTTTTTCCCCCTCTCATCATCTGTAGATCATCTGACTTGTCTTCCTCATTCCCATTTCCCCTCTTGTCAGCCTGGGTGATGGTTTAAAGAATGTAAGAAGCTGGATTAGAGTTTGAATAGTACAGATTTTAGCTGACCTGGGGGAAATGTGTCACTCAGGTTGTCTGAATATCAGACTAATTTTCGGGATGGCGTTTATCGTTAGAACTTCAGTTTAAACCAACTTTGAAATGACAAGGACCTTGAGAACAGAGTGTGTGAATCCTGTAACATTCTTTGACATGCTGGTATCGAATGACCTGTGTAGTGATGAAGAATCTTACCTCTTGACTTTTGTCTCTCTCCCCTCCTTGCTACTTATTTTGTGTCTTGGCAGACTAACAGAAATGATAAGGCTCAGGAGTTCTTTGCAAAGCAGGCCACAGAGCTCCAGAACCAGGCCGAGTGGAAGGATTGGTTTGCCCTGCCCTTCCTGCCATCGCCAGACACCAACCCCACCTTTGCCACCTACTTTTCACGACAGTGGGCCGACACCTTCATTGTGTCCCTGCACAACTTCCTGAGCGTCCTGTTTCAGTGTATGCATATCCTGCTAGCTGCCTTGGGTGGGAGCCTAGTTTGAGACATCTAGACAACGTGATCTGTGGCCACTGCTCTTAAAGCAACCATGTATCTACCAAATGCCCGAGGATCATTGTCATGTGAGGGGCTGGACAAAGTGTGGTTGTTTTTGTCCATAGGCCAGGGAGTCTGAATTCCCGGTTCTGCTGCTGTCTTGTTGTAGTGCCAGCTGAGTGCACGGGTGGACGCTGTGGCAGCAGGGGGTGCTAGTCAACAGACACAGGGGCCAGAGGACAGCTGCTGCTTGGAGAAACCAGCTGGCCTTGAGAAATCAGCTGGCACCCTCTCTGTGCATGACATGTGTCCCCAAGAATCAACTGCCTTTGCTGAGACTAGGCAGTTGAGAGCACAGATGAGAACACTTCTTGGGCTGGAACTTCCTCCTATTGGCATTAGTTTGGGTTCTGTTAAGTGACCTCCGTGTCCCTCAACTTGCCAGAAAGCAGAGTCTCTTTAAGCATATGTATCTGGGTATTTGAGAAAGAGGTGGAGAGAGAACGCATGAGGACATATGTCCATAAGTTATTTACAGCCTACCAAATCTTCCATTTTGCCATGGATGGCCTGAGATCCCGAGGCCCAGGGCATGCTCCATTGTTCATGTTCTCTAGGTTGGAAATCTAGAGAAGGAGAAGGGAGCCTGGTCTGACTGGACTGCCCGACAGGGCTGTCTGGGGAGGCCCTGATAAACTGACTTGTAGAGGCCCACCCACTGGTAGTGTTTGGGGCTCTTGGAGAAACACTTTCTGGTGGAGATAGGAAAGTGGCTTTTCCTGCCTTTTCTTTTTGTCGTGGGTCAGGGTGATTTCCACCCATGCCAGGCCTGTCTTATTTCTCCCCCTGCTGCCTACCTTCCTCCTGAGGGCTTTCAGAAGAAACTAGCAGGTTGGTTGTGGCCTAACTGCTTGGGTCCTCCAGGGAAATTGAAACTGTCACTCAAGATCTTTTCAGTACAAGACAGTGCTCTTCAAATCAGGGCACATACCTTTGGGCTGGAATTTCTTTTGCTAGTTCTGAGACCCTAGCCACTCTGCACTCCTGAGAGAAGCTGTCCTAAGCATTTGGGAAAGACCAAAACCCTAAGCTAGATTATGGATGTTCTTGGAGTGGCCTGTGGCCTATGGCCTGTGGAGTCTGCAGAAAGCTTCCTCTTCTCTGTCTAAACCTTTGCCAGGGAGAGGTTCCATCTGGGGAGGGGAAGGCCAAATGGCTGATCCTTCTGGCCAGCTAGCAGGGTGCTTGCAGAGCCACTGGCGTCCATGGTTGCTTTGAGCTAAATGCCTGTACTGATCTCACCAAAGCTTAGACTGGCTGTGAAGAGCCAGCTGCATACTAGCTCTTCACTGCTGATATCTGGGAGAACACGCTCAGGTTTGGATATGTGTTCTCTCTGCGGGCCGTCCAGGTGGGTCGTAATGTGTCTGTGAGTCTGCCTGGCTTGAGGACAAGAGGACACTATTTCATAAAGCTGTGAAGAACCCATAGCACCAATTTTGTACTCTGTTCCCTGCGTCTCAAGTTCAAGTGTTTGCTGTTGTGTCAAGAGTTTGGGAGGGACTTCTCAGTGTTTCTTAGTCAGGTTTATTCTTTAACTCTGTGCACCAGTTCCTGTGATCCTGAACTTTGATGCGGAATGTCAGAGGACCAACCAGGTTCAAGAGGAAAATGAAGTTCTGCGTCAGAAGGTTTGTTCTGAATGGTCTTGCTCTGGGGGAAGTACTTCTGCTTTTTGTGTGTGGAATTATGTAGCAGCAGTGGTGGACTGATGAGACATAGGCAAGTCAAACTGTTCTCAGATGAAAGTGAGTCTCCAGAAAGCCAGCAATGGGGATTTAGGGCCATAATTGTCTCTGAAAACCAGAGGTGAGATTTGTGTTTTAAATCATGTGTACAGCCAACCTGTGGTCAGTCGTGTGGAATCTGGCTCTCTTAGCTTAGCCACTAGGCTATGGGATTGGCTCTAATTTTTAGAGTTTATCCATTTCTTCTGAGGAGGCCGAGACTCTGTCATCAAACAAACAAACAAACAAACAAACAAAACCCCATAATTTGCTTAAAATTTTTTTCTACCTGCGTTTCAAAGTCCGATTTTGTAGATTCCAAAGAGCAAAGCAGGACTGGGTGGAGTTATTTCTCAGTAAATTCAGAAAGAAGCAAGTCAAGTGGTAAAAAGGAAGCAAGTCAAATGATAAAAAAGGAAGGAGCGGGTTTTGGATTTCTAGCCATTTTTGGTTTTCTCGCCACACTGTAGTCCAGGCCACTTTTGCATTTTTCCAACCCACAATGAGCTGAGAGTGAGGAAGGGGTACCTTGAGGCAGAGGCGAGAGGCACTTTGAGCCAGTGTGGTTGGGTTTGATGTGCTGTGTCTAGAAATCTTCCCCAGCAGAGGGAAGATGGCGAGGAAGCTCCGGCTAACTCAGCCCTACTCCTGCGTAGCTTTTTGCATTGCAAGCTGAGATCCACCGCCTGAAGAAAGAAGAGCAACAGCCAGAAGAGGAAGAGGCCTTGGTCCAGCACAAATTGCCTCCGTATGTCTCCAGTATGGATCGACTGGGAGACTCGGAGCTGTGAGTATGCGATATCTCGTGGGAGAGGGGGTGGCTGACTCATCCTCTCCTCTGTCTTCTCTGTTCTCAGCCCCGGGTTCACTCTAATCCCACCTCACCTCTGCACCCCCTTACCCCCCCCCCAAGTTGGCAAGGGAGAAGTGCTGACAAGCCTCCTTGGCACACACTGCTCTGGCTTCCGAGCTTTATGAGTAAGGTCCCTGGCCTCTTAAGTCCTGCAGGAGTTGTTTCCAGTCTTTGAGCCTCCGGCCTCGCCCAGGGGGAGGGGAAACTACCACTCTGCCAGGGGACTGCACATCCAGATGTGCACAGCCTGCATAAATAAACCGTAGCCTCTGTTGGAAAGCCTTGGGGCGTTTTTTGCATGTCAGAAAGAGCAAAGAGCACCTCCCTCCCACATGGGCTGATTGACAGCCTCCGTGGGAGGCATACCTGACTCGAAGTGTGCACCTTGCCTGAGGGTTAAAGAGGTAGGTAGGTTGGGAACCAGCAGTTAGCGTAATGGCTATGTCGCTGGACTCCCACGTAGTCGACCGCGGTTCGCATCCTGGACCCGGTGGCTTAAAACTCACACTGGGGGCATGTGCGTGCGTGCCCAAGATCCTGAGAGGAGAATGGAGGAGAAGGGATTGCGGCGTGACCATCCCCCCTGGGGGGTGATTTCTCGCTTTCTGTCTCTATGTCTCTCTCTATCTGTCTGGCGAGCGCACGCACCCTATAGCGAAAATCTCTCCAAAAAAAAAAAAAAAAGAGGTAGGTAGGTTGAGAGAGAGGGATTGGAGCGACCTTAGAGGAAATGACCAGTTAAAGAAGGAGTTTGAGGCAGCATTGATGATCCTGGTAGCAGGTGAAGAAACAGGCCCAGACAGGTATCACAGGTGCTGGTGAGTCAGGTGTGAACACAGGCCGTCAGATATTGGACCTGCACAAAGCAGGAGACATAGCTGTCTACTGAAAAGAAATGCAAAGCCAGACATATCAGGTAATCATTTGGTAGCTTCATTTACAAAAAAAAAAAAAAAAACACCCAAAAACCAAAACAGAACAACAGCTACAAAAAAACGAAAAAGAAACAAAGTAAATTTTAATGATGAATTTTCTTTTGCCCCGTATATTCAGAATATCATTCGAATGTGTAACATAGACACGTTATTGATGAGCTGTAACTTGTTTGCGTGTGAAATCCCTGAATGCCGGTGTGCATGGTCAGCCTCCGGCACACCTGGATTTGGGCTACCCACATTCCATGTGCTCTGGAGGGCACCTGGCCAGTAGCTGTCAGACGGAGTTCTGAGCTTTTCCACGGACCCGAAAGAAGCGCCACAGACTTCACTGTCGTGCTGGGTCAGCTGGTGGCTCCCTTGGTATGAGAAATGGTGCCAAGAATAGCACCACATCAGGGCCCAGGCCCCTGAACCCGGGTAAAGCCCGTCACTAGCACCACCATAGTCCAGGAGTTCTTTGTTCTTGGTTCCTCCGTGCCCCACCCCAGCCCGTAACCCTGTGGTGTGTCTGCCTGAGCAGAGCCATGGTGTGCAGCCAAAGGAACGCCTCCCTGTCCCAGTCACCTCGCGTGGGCTTCCTGTCCTCACTGCTGCCTCAGAGCAAGAAGAGTCCCTCACGGTTGTCGCCTGCCCAGGCCCCCCCTCAGGTTCAGAGCTCAGCCAAGAAAGAGTCCTTCGGTGGTCAGGTAAGCGAGTCTCACCTTCCTAACTCGTGCCGGGAGCCTGTGGCATCTTCCTGGGCTTCCAGACCTCCTTGTCGAGTGTAAGCTCGTCTGTCCTCTCCTTAGGACTGACTTCCTGGGCATGCTGGTGAGATCTTTGACTCCCATCTCATCCTTTCTTCCTCCTTCCTCGCTTTTATGGCCATAGACCAGTGATAGTCCTGCAGGATGAGATTAGATCTTAGGCTGTAATGGAACAAGGAGGACGGTCCGCCCAGTGCTGTCTCCACCTGCACCCCCTCTGCCTCCCTTCTGGCTGTGGCGTGTGAGGCCCTGGGCAGATGTGGGTGCGCAGATAAGGGCAGCCCCAGACCTCAGACCCAGTCTCCTAACCTAGAGTGGCTGCCTCCGATCACTGCCTGCACGTCTGTGTGCCAGGTGAAGCGGTGGACAGCCAAGGACAGGAGGTAGGCTTGGAAGGGCCCCTCCCTTTTTCTCATCAGCTACCTGCGAACCCAAGGGCTTATGACTGTGTTTTGGAGGTTCAAGTGTGAGTTCAGGCAATTCAGAATTTTGAACCTTTGGTGATACAAGGTGCCATCAGTTAATTAAGTTAATTAAGTTTATTTCGAATCATGTGTTTTACCTACATGTGGGTACTTTTGCTGATTCTACAAAAGATTTTTGCTATTTTTCACTTGTGTAGAAGATTGCAAGAGAATGTGTTTGATGCCAGCTTATGTCCAAAACACCCGTGCGGGTGCCCTAAGCAATTTTCCTTGGCAGAGTGAAAGGCGGACAAACTCAGAATGATGTGTTATTGCTTGGGTAGTAACACTTTCTGTTTTGGTATGGTTTTATTAATTGCAGCTCAAGTAAGTGGTAGTCTGTGCCTTCTCCTCCCACCCTTGGCTTGAGACCACTTGCAAGTTTGGGACTAACTGCTGTACCCGGTCAGGCAGAGGTCTGCCCTAGGCTGCTGTTGGAATGGGAAAAATTTCAGCGTGGTAGTTGGTTTGGTTTCTTGTCCTTGGCTAGCCTCCACTTTACCTGCGACACAGGCATGCAGGCAGAAGCCAGGGGCAGCCACTCTGGGGTAGGAGACTGGGTTTGAGATCTAGGGCTCCAGCTCAACAACAGGACACTGAGTGAGAAAGAGCATGGGCTTTGGAGTCGGCAGCCGTAGGTTTACCTGGCTCCATGTTTGTCAACCTATTGCTTAAATTCACCCCAGTTTTGCTTGGGAAAAGAAACAATAAAAAATTAATCACCACTGCTCCTATGATTGTTTTTCTAAAAATGCAAATGTTAAAATTAGAATTCCAGAGTCAGCAGGTGGTTTGGGGGTTAAGGACTACTCGATTTGAGCCCTGGACCTGGCGTCTTGAAAAGCATGCTGGGTGCTTGTGTGTGTGTGTGTGTGTGTGTGTGTGTATGTGTGCATGCCCAAAATTCTGAGAAGAGAATGAAGGATTGCCGCATGGCTAACCCCTTGGGGGGTGATTTCTCACTTCCTTTCTGTCTGTCTGTCTGTCTCTGGCGAGTGCATGCATCCTATAGCAAACTGGAAAAAAATAAAAGAATTCCAAGTCTGTGGAATGGGGCTGAGTCAGGGTCACTATTTGCTTTCCGGATCTGTCTCGCTGTGCAACATTCATAAGTTTAATAGATGTTGTAGGGAGTGTTGAGTCCCTTCACATGAGCTTGAAATTGTGGAATTCAATTTTGTTAACTTAAATTGATCGAAAGCGTAGAGACAGACTCTTTGGGGGTTAGCCTGTGGCCACGCTCTTTATCTATTCCGGAACTGTGTGTCACATGGTAAGGATGAAATGCAACAGGAAACTGTGTAGTTTACAGCCTAGAAATGAGAGTAAGCATGTATCATTTCCAGCAGCACATTCCTCATCTTGCCTTTAACTGTGAGGTCATTGGAAAAGTCATGATACATTTTTCATTTTTGTATAGAAAATCAGAAAAATGCTTCATGACTTTTCTGAGGGCCCAACCTAATCAAGCAGATTGGTCTTTTTTTTTTCTTTTGCTAGAGGGCACATGTGGTCACCATAGAGAGACAGAGATGGAGAGGACAATGCCCTCCCCATGGAGAATGGTCACACACTAATCCCTTCTCCTTCATTTGCCCGCCCCCCTTTGGGGATTTTGGGCATGCAGGCACCATCATACACCTGGGTGCTTCTCAAGCTGCTGGGTTGGGGGTCAAACTGCATGGTTGTCCATGTGAGATCCGGCTGCCTTAACCACCAGGCCATGGAGCTGGACTCTATGTGGCATGTTAATAGGGCGATGTTTTCATTCCTGAATGGAGATGACAGATCTCTACAATCTGGAAAACTCAACGGTCAAGTCGCTGGGTTTTATTGATGGTAGATTATTTAGACTCAGTTTATCACTAATGCTTCAGTTCTAAAAGTATCTGATAGATTTGAAGTTCAAGAAAACCCTGGAACTTTCCCATTGGAGGGAAGCCTAGAGGTCATCTGGCTCACGTTCCTGTTGTGTACAGAAGCATGTTCTCTGGGTTGATGGCCTCTTGTGGAATGGAAATCACTGCCTGCTAAAGTGGGAACACATGTTTGTTAGAATGCTATTAGTAGAAACCTGGGGCCGGCAGATGGCGAGGTGGTTAAAGGTGCTGGATTCCCACATGGTCAACCGGTTCGATTCCTGGGCCCGGAAGTTTATTTTCTCACTTAACCTTTCTTTCTGTCTCTATTTGGTCAAATTAAAAAAATACTAATAACAAATGGAGTGAAAAAGTAAATAGATTTTTGGGACCAGCAGTTAGCGTAATGGCTATGTCGCTGGACTCCCACATAGTCGACCGCGGTTCACATCCCGGACCCGGTGGCTTAAAACTCATGCCGGGCGCGTGTGCATGCGTGCCCAAGATCCCGAGAGGAGAATGGAGGAGAAGGGATTGCGGTGTGGCCATCCCCCCTGGGGGGTGATTTCTTTAAAAAGAACAACAACAATAAAAAAGTAAATAAATTTTTTTTAAAAAGGAAGCTATTAGTAGAAATCTTTTTTTTTTTTTGAGAGTTTTTTTTTGCTATAGGGCACGTGCGCTCGCCAGGCAGACAGAGAGAGACATAGAGACAGAAAACGAGAAATCACCCCCCAGGGGGGATGGTCACGCTGCAATCCTTTCTCCTCCATTCTCCTCTCGGGATCTTGGGCACGCATGCACACGCGCCCGGCATGAGTTTTAAGCCACCGGGTCCGGGATGTGAACCGCGGTCGACTATGTGGGAGTCCAGCGACATAGCCATTACGCTAACTGCTGGTTCTAAGTAGAAATCTTTTTATAACTTTTACTTGTGATCTTGGTTCATTATCATGTTGCTGAGCCTAAGATACTGGGTGATTTATCAAGAATAGAACTTTGGGCTAACTGGTGGCATGGATCCCATGTGGCTAACTGTGTGATTTGAGTCCCAGAAGCTGAAAAACACACCAGGCGTGTGTGTGTGTGTGTGTGTGTGTGTGTGTGTGTGTGTGCATGCACCCATAGTTGTGGTGTGTGTGTGCGTGTGTGTGTGTGTGCGTGCACCCATAGTTCTTAAAGGAGGGAGAGATGGAGGAGCAGGGGGGGATGCTTTCACTCGCTCTCACTCTTTCTCAGTCTCTTTCTAGCAAGTACATGTATCCTCTGGCAAATTTCAAACAAACAAACAAAAAAACACAAAAACCCAGGTTTATTTAGTTCACAGTTCTGGGGACTGGAAAGTCTTAAGGGCGTGAGCTGGCACCTGATCTTTCAGCATAGCACAGCGGAAGGAAGTGGAAAGGTCAGCAGGGTATGCAGAGAGAGTGACCCGTGTTCAACCCTCTCAGTTTTATAACAACCTACTCTCATGGAAAATAACCTATTCCCATGAGAGCAAGAACTCCACCCCCAGATGGCATTAATCTGTTCATGAGGGCAGTGTCCCCATGATCCAAAGACCACCCACTAGGCCTCACTTCCTAAAGGTCCAACACCACTCGGCACCATTATGTTAGGGAACAAGCTTCCAGTGTGTGAGCCCTTGGGGACGGACTGTATCCAGACTGTTGCACTTAGATCTTAACTTTGAACTCTGGAGATCCATGGAATAAAGCTTTCTGTGTAAGACAACCCTTCCCATCTTTTCCACACTAAGTACCCTGTGTTTATCACTCTCCCCAACTCCCCTACGCTTTACCGTTATGGCACGATCTAGACTTTCACGTCCTGGACCCCATCCTCTGGGAGGACATTTTAATGTTTCAGTCTCTCTATTAGAGTTCATGCCCAAATTTGAGTGTGTAATTCTATTGAATAGATGCTCTCTCATCCATACCAAATGCAGAGTGTGGCTTCCTGTTATCTTGATAAAATGCTGCTTTGGATTCAGTTTACCACGACACTGGTTTATCAGTAAGCCACATTGCTTATCAGTGCATGTTGAGCATGTGGTCTTTTGCCCCGCCCTACCACACTGGAGCCCTCCTTTCTTTTTTACCTTTATAGAATAAGCATGCAAAAAGTAAATGAACTATTTTATTGTTCATTTAGCAAATGTAAAATGATGAGACTTTCCTATTTTTAACTACCATTTACAGTTTGTTAAATTTCCCTCACATCAGCATTTTGCCCTCTTGAGATTAGTCACTGAAACTGTTGTCATTATTACGAAAATACTCATAGCATCAAACTTTTTCTTTCTTTTTTTAATATTATTTTATTATTTGACAAGGGCAAGTGTGCCTGCTGGAGAGAGACGGGGAGAGGGAAAGTGAGGAATCCCCCATGTCCCATGGGGCATGGTTACACTGCAATCCCTTCTCCTCGGTCTCACCACCCGTTTGAGATTTGGGGCACACATGCTCTCATGCCTGGAGTGTTTTTCAAGCCATTGGGTCCAGGTCTCAAACCATGGCCATGTCTATGGGATCCAGCCACCTTAACTACCATGCCATTGGCTAACCCCAATTTTTTTTTTTCCTTTTTTTTAATGGAAGTAACTGCAAAACCATATGATCATTCTTTCTTGTTTGCTTAGTTACGGACTTCACATGGGACTTGTCTGATCCTAGAGATAACCTTTAATTGGCTGCACTGGGAAAAAAGCAAATTGCCCACAAACGTCTGTACTTGTGGCTTTTATTGGTATAAAATTACTTTCTAGCTATGGAGACATTGGTGGTAACAATAGCTCCCCTGGGAGCTATTCCCATGGATCTTGGCAGAGAGGGAAAAAGGGAGCCCTTCTCTAGCTCTTTCAGTCTATTATCTCTGCGCTTTGAGGGCTTGTCTTTGGGGTGCCTTTGTTCTGCTTCAGGTGAGACCAAATACTGGAATTCATTTCCTGCCCCATTTGGGTGACAGCCTGCAAGCTCTGTGAGGCTTTGGAATCCTTCTTCATCTTTTCAGGCCACCAAAAACGAATGGGTGTCAACTTTCAACTGTCCATAGTGAGAAGGTTGTGTGATGTAACACAGGTTGTAGTCTCTCTCCTGGACTGTAGGAGTCAGGTAGATTGCGACAGAATATAATTTAGAATCTTGGAATGTTGTGTTATATGAAGCCAGCAGTTAAGATTTTTATGAGATTTGTTCTTAGAACAATACTGTCAATCAAAGTTTATGTCACAGGAAACATTGGCTTAAATTAGATTTGTTTGTGGTTAGACACAATTTTTTTTTTTTTATGAGAGAATTTTGCTGTAGGACACATGCACTCGCCAGAGAAATAGAGACGGAGAAACAGGAAGGGAGAAATCACCCTCCAGGGAGGATGGCCATGCTCAATCCTTTCTCCTCCATTCTCTTCTCGGGATTTTGGGTACACATGCACACGCACCCGGTGTGAGTTTTAAGCTACTGGGTCTGGGACTCAAACTGTGGTTGGCTATGTGGGAGCCCAGTGACATAACCATTATGCTATCCGCTTGTCCTTGGACACAAATTTACCATAGCTATTTATGTGTTTTGAAGACAGCTACATTTATCAGCCATTAATACATTATGACCATCTGTCCTTGTTCATGTTTCTGACAACTGTATATACACACATATATATGTAGCGAGAAAGAGAGAAAGAAAACGCCCTCAGGAGGCATGGCTATACCACAATTCCTTCTTCTCCGTTCTCCTCTTGGGATTTTGGTTATGCGTACATATCTGCCTGGCATGATTTTCAAACTGCTGCACCTGGGACTTGAACCATGGTGGGCCATGTGAGAGCCCAGCACTTCAACTACCATGTCTCCTGCTGGCCCGTCTCCACTCGTTATCCTCTGGATCAGCAGATGTGGGGAGGAATCATGGTTCGTATAATGAGAGTTGACACCCATGGATCACATGCCAGAGACCAGGTCAGGGACACCCTGGTACCTCACTACTGTCTATTACCAGTTGTCTTGACCACCTGTTGCTTCTGGGGAACTAAGAGAGGTCTTCCACTTTTAACACTGTGGAACCTGTTCCTGTTCCTTGGTCTGCGGAATGCTGCTCCAGGATGGCCAGAAGCGCTGAGATTAGGGCCTTTTGACTTGGTGATGCTCCTTAGCTCCAGGCCTACAGCATTTCCTCTGATCCTTCTGTTATCAAATAGTCACTTTCTTCCGGGTTGCCCCTTCATGGTATTGCTTTCTTCTAGTTGTTCAGAGTATGGTTTCTGCTGTCAGATTGGGGTGTGAATTCCAGCTGTCAGGTCCTTTTGAAGACCCCTTGTGAAGTTACTATTGAAATTATTGTTGGTTTTCTTCTTACTCATTTTATCTTGACTAGGTACTCTACTTTTCCTAAAATAATCCAGAATCCAGAGAAACAAGCGTTTCCTCTAAAGAAACATCTCTTACAAGTATAAACAGATTTTACTTGAGGTCATTTAGGCAGAAATACCTTGTAGGTCAGCCACGGTTATGTTGCAGGTAAACTAACAGTGCTTTAAAATTTCCTTCCTTACCTGTTCACATGATTCTAAGGTTCCCAGGAGTCTATATTTTAAGTTGTTTAATTTTAACATACAAAATAGTAAGTAGAAGGGCCAGTAGGTGGCAGGATGGTTAAAGTGCCATTTCTACATGGCCAACCTTGGTTTAAGTCCTCGGTTCAAGTCCCAAACCTTGCAGTTTAAAAATCACGCCAGGTACGGGTGTATGTGTGTCCAAATTCCAGAGAGGAGAATGAATGAGAAGAGATTGTGGTGTGGACCCCCCATCTGGGGGATGATTTCTCACTTTCCCTTTCTCTTTCTTTCTCTGGCGGGCACACGTGCCTTATGGCAAAAACCTTAAAAAGAAAGCAAGGAAGGAAGGAAGGAAGGAAGGAAGGAAGGAAAGAAAGAAGGAAGGAAAGAAGGAAGGAAATAAGGAAGGAAAAAAATAAAGAAATAACATGTAGAAGTAAAAAGCAGCACATATACTCCGGTTGAGTTCTTTTCCTTCACTGAACTCTTATGTACAAATGGTTTCTTGAGAGCATCGGTGTCAAACCTGAGTGGCTTTTTGCATCCCCATCTTTTTGTTAAGAGTGTAATTAAAAAGGAGGGGTCTGACCATCACAGTTTATGGACTAAGACCAGAGAAGGAGAGTCCTGCCAGACGTTTGCAAAATTAGGAAGGGGCAGCTCCTTTTAAAGAGGCTCTAGATTAAGGAGACTCTCTCCATAGGGCTGGTGTGGGTGGGGGTTACCAAGTTCATTCTGTCACTGTGACCTTGGTTGACCCTGTCTAAGGAGCCAGAAAATACTGTGTTTTTGTTTTTTTGTTTTTTTTTTCTTTCCTAGTTATTCAAAGGTCCTTGGATTTCCAACAATCCTGTAAAGAATTTCTGGTTATATAGTAATCATTTTCTTTCTTTCTTTCTCTCTCTCTCTCTTTTTTTTTTTTTTTCCCAGTTGCCAGAGGGCACATGCACTCACCAGAGAGGCAGAAAGAGAGAGGGAGAAAACACCCTCCAATGAGGCATGGCCATTGCCATCCCTTCTCCATTTCTCTATCCTGTTGGGATGTGGGACATGCTCCCACACATGCCCAGTGTGTTTTTCAAGCTGCCGGGGCCAGGATTTGAACCACAGTTGGCATATGCGGTCTGGCTCCCTTCACCACTAGGATGTGGGTCTAGCTCAGTAATCAATTTCAAATGTCCTGGTATTCGTTAACATTAGCTGATTTAGTCCTATACTTGGCTCAAGATAAAAGAGGGTATTGTGTTTCCTTTTCCCTCCACAGAGGTGATTGCTCATTGTGCGAATATTATTTTATATTGTCCAAACATAGTGTTGCTTATAAACGTCTATAACACCTAGCGTAAGATATGGTCTGCCGTGGTGGTCCCTTAGTGCTGGGCTCCTCCCCTTTTGCTGAAGTGAATTGATCTGATTAGGTGGAGGAGCTATCACCATCTCCAAGTAACAGACATTGCAGGCTGTGGAGTGCAGGTGACCCAACCTGCTCCTAACAGGAAGCAGAGAAGGGGAGGTGGAAGGCCAGGCTGCTACAACCTCACCTGCCTGGCCAGGTGTACACCATTCTAACTCCCTGCTCAGCCTGGCCAAGGAGCCCTTCCTGGGCTGTGGCGTAGAGAATCTGTTCCCTGCCTCTGCTCCCCCCGGTCCAGTAGTCACAGCCTGGGCAGTGTGAAGAGACTTCACTGCCAGCTTCTTGTCCTCAGGCCACCAAGGGAAAGGACTCAACATCTGGACCCAGGGATGGGAAGAGCCTCCTGAGTGGCTTGGCCACGGGGGAGTCCAGCTGGTCACAGCACCGGCAGCGGCGCCTGCAGGACCATGGCAAGGAGAGGAAGGAGCTTTTCTCTACCACCACATCCCAGGTAAGGGGGTCCTGAGTGCCCCTCCCAGCCCCTCCAAGCTCCACTGCTGGGCCCTTTCCCCATGCAGCCTTTCCCTGAGGGCTCTGGAAGTGCTCCCGGGAGACAACTTCAGTGATTAGGTGGGCTTGGGAACCCTGGCATAGCCTTCGTTCCCTGAGGCTGACTGCCATGCCAGCCCGTGCCGGGCTCGTGGAGACCTGTTTCCCACCACTTGCCATAGGATCCCTTTCTCTCACACAGCCCTCTCTGGGAATATGGGTCAGGGCCCGTCCTTCCTGGCAGTGCAAGCTGCTTCTGTTTCTGCCACATACTCCAGATTGAAGGCAAAAGTCCGAGAGATTTATGGTTTTCCTGGCCAAGTCACTTTCTTGACCATTTAGCTCCTACTGGGCCCCTTGCCTTTGTTAGAGGCATTTTTGCCAGTGAGCAGGGTGGTAGTGGTTCTGGCTAGGTGGCAATAAGCCCTCAAGGCTCAGGTCTCAAATCTGTTCTGGCACTGCATGGTGAAAGATGTTCCTGGAATCCAGGGACAGCCCATAAGGTCTGAGGGTCTTCGTGTTGTTGCATTACTCCTGCTGGTGCCTGAGGGGCGCTTCGAGGGGCAGCAGGAACCCCAGGGCGTGTCTTTTTGAGCACATCCTGATTTGGTGGCTGATGGTTGGTGCCACAGGGTGGCAGAGATGGGGCAGTTGTGGACCCCCAGCTAGCCTATAGTCTCTGCCCTCAGTCCACCAGTGCCTCCTTCTCAGGAGGAGATGTGGTTGGCACTGTGGCGTGCTAGGGAGGAGCCAGGCTGAGCTCTGGCGTGCCAGGCTTTATATTCAGGTTGACTCCTTGCCAGCCGTGTGGCCTCGGGCAAGGTATTTAGCTTCGCTGTCAGTCTGAGTTTCCATGGCTGTAAGATGGGGTAATTATGGCATCTCATGTGGTTTTAGGAAGGATTCAATGAGAGAAAAGCTGTAAAACCCTCAGCACGTGCTGGGCACGCAGGGTCACTCTCAAGCAGTGTTCCTTTCCCTCGGTCTGGCCAACAGGGGTAGACTTGTGTCTGGGGTCCTCTCAGCTCGGAGGGGCCTGCAACTCCCTGGCCCTCAGCAGGGCCTGTGAGTGGAGCAGTCTCCAGGGAGGCTATGCGGAGCGGGTACCCCACCCTGCTCAGGGCTCTCCTCTGGACAGGGCTCCCGAGTGCTGTGAACTGGTCACCCCATGTGCTCCCGGGGTGGGGGCCTTTCCCAGCTGACTTGACACTGCTTTGCTTGCTCAGTGTACAGAGAAGAGGCCAGAAGCTGGTGGCTCTGAGGCAGAGCCCAGCCCAGAGGTGCACGTGGAGCCAGTGGAGCCACTGACCAGGGCTCCCACGGTGGGCCCTGAGGGGGGCGGAGCACGGCCCGAGCAGCCCTTCATCGTGCTGGGGCAGGAAGAGTACGGAGAACACCACTCATCCATCATGCACTGCAGGTGGGCCTGGGGCTGGGCCCGGGGCTCAGCCACCCAACAAGGGTCTTCGGGCAATGCAGGCGAAGGTGCAGCCAGCAGGCGATGGGGGAGAACAGAGATGTGGAAGGTGGGGTGGTCCATGAAGGCCATGGTGACCCCTGAAGAGTGCGGAGGGCAGATGGCTGACCATGTGGGGTCCTGCTCACAGCTGTCTTTGCACTAGTCAGTCTCTCTGCCCTTCATGATCACATCTCTGAGTTTTAGGGTCAAGTTAGTGTTGATTTACCCCCAACACTCGCTTGATTCGCATTTGCTTTATGTTAGTGCCTTTGGGTATGTATTTATATTTATAAGGTTTTTATTCAAACATGGTAAAAGCATGGCCTTTCAGGAACAAATCTTCATGGAGTGTCATTTTTTGGGGATAGGTAGGTTTCTTGTTTTGAACCCTAGTGGGCTCTGTGGGCCCATGGGCTGTTCTGGAATGTGCTACAGGAGGCCCCCAATCCCCACAGACTGCAAGTGCTGAGGGCAGGGCCCTGCCAGCCTTGTCCGCTATCCTGTCCCTGGTGTCTAACACATAGCTCAGACACCATGGGTCTTAGTAAGTATTTCCTTTTTTTAGAGAGAGATTTTTGCTATAAGGCCCATGTGCTCGCTGGAGAGACAGAGAGAGACAGAGAGACAGAAAGTGAGAAATCACCCCCCAGGAGGTATGGCCACATTACAATCTCTCCTCCTTCATTCTTCTCTGGGGATTTTGGGCATGTACGCACATGTGCCTGGCATGAATTTTAAGTTGCTGGGTCCAGGACTCAAACTGTGGTCAGTTGACCATGCGGGAGTCCAACAATGTAACCATTATGGCATCTGCTGGTCCCTTAGTAAGTATTTCTTAGATGAATGAACGAGTATTTCTAGAGAGCCTGCACCTGTCCTTTGAGTGTAGGCCTTTTGGGATTATTATTATTATTATTATTATTATTTTAGTTTGTAATAGGGTGTGTGTGCTCACTGGAGAGAGACAGGGAGAGGAAAAGTGAGACATCACCCCCTAGGTGGGATGCCTACACAGCAATCCCTTCTCTTGAGATTTTGGGCATGCACATACATGTGCCCAGCATGATTTTCAAGTCGCTGGGTCCAGGACTTGAACTGTTGTTTGCTATGTGGAAGTCCAGCGCCTTAACCACCATGCCACCTGATGGCTCTAAGGGATTACTTGTTAGCAAGTACATCTGGAAAGTTGGAAAAGTGATCATCTCCACATTAGCTGCAGAGGATGCTGGGCTATGGGAAGGATGTGAGCCATCCTCTGCTTTTCTTTATCTCAGAGTGGATTGCTCAGGAAGGAGGGTCGCCAGCTTGGATGTAGACGGGGTCATCAAAGTGTGGTCCTTCAACCCCATCATGCAGACCAAAGCGTCTTCCATTTCCAAGTCACCACTGCTCTCCTTAGAATGGGCCACCAAGCGGGACCGGCTGGTAAGTGACGCTTTGCTGAGTGCTCACCTTGTAGGACCAGTGGAAGTATCCCCAGGGATGCCCACAGGCCAAGTAGAGGGGCCAGACCCCTCCCTCTCTCCATCATGTCTCTGGGTTTTAGACCAAGTTACCCTTTATTTTAATCCTCAAGACCCACTCAGTTTCCATTTGCTTTATGTTAGTAGTTTCAGTTTTGTATTTGCCATTGCGTTTTTACTTAGACATGGTAAAAGCATAGCCTTTCATGAATAAACCCTCAGGGAGTGCGGTTGGGGACTTGAGACTGCATCCCCCAGATTGGCCAGCAGGCTCTGGTTTAGGGGTGGCAGTGAGGTTACTGGATTAACAAGAACTGAAATGAGCCCATAGAGGCCCTAGAGAATAGGCTTCTGCCAGACTGCAGAAGGCTTCCTGTTGTCTGTGTGTGGTGGTTTCCCCTGGGAGACCCTCTGACCCTTTGACTTCCTGGGTCCCCATTTGTCGTGTTTCCCCACACGTTCCCAGTGAGTTCCCTCCTGCTGCTCAGAGACTTCCTGCTGCCCAGAGCCCTCCTGCGCCAGGCCCCAAGGGGAGCAGCTGAGTCTGTGAGGGGCCGATGCTCCCGTCTGTGGTTCCCACAGGCCTGATTGCCCCCAGCAACAGTGCAGTATGATTTTTCTCTCTGGACTTTAATATTTAAAATAAGAGTTGTAGTTAAGGAGGTAAACTAGATTTATTGTTTTTTTCTGGCAATGTATTTTGCAGGGATCATCTCATGTAGCCTAAACAGCAAACCCTGCTTTTTCTAACATTTTTGACAGCTGAAGGCACTCTTCTCACGGTACCAGGATCCCAGGGCCTGCCCTGTGCCCGTGTCAATCCTGCAAGTAAAAGCAGAGGTCACGATCAAGCTAACGTCCCTGGGAATGCCCTCAGACCCGGGCTGCTTCTGGCGCTTGCTTCTGGTGCAGTGTTTAGTATTATCATTGAAGATTTTCACCAAATTAATCACAAGTGCCTGAGGGATAGACACTTTTATTTTTATTTTTAAATTTTTTTTAGATTTTTGCCACGAGGCACATGTATTCTCTGGAGAGAGTCAGAGAGAGGGAAAAGGTGAGAAATTACCCCTCCAGGAGGGATGGCCACACTGCAATCCCTTCTCCATTCTCCTCTCCCGATTCTGGGCATGTGCGCACGTGCCTGGAGTGAGTTTCAGTCTGCTGGGTCTGGAGCTCAGGTTGCAGTCGGTCTTGTGGGGTCCAGCACCTTAACTACCATGCCACCTGCTGGCTCTGCCGCTTTTATTTTTTTCTGGAAGCTTCTATAAGTCCAGTACCAGAGTTGTCCCCTAAAAAGGCAAATGTGACAGTCAACCAGGAAGGGGCTGTGGGTAGATGGGGAGTGAGAAGGAAGGGTTGGAGCAGCTGGGACTTAAAACTGAAAGGAGGAGGGGGCCAAAGGGTCTCGTGTGGCCAGCTGGAACAGTTCCAGGTGTATCTGAGTTGATGCATCTTCCGTCCTGCAGCCACCATTTGTAGTTTTGCTTCTGTTCTGGAGGTCCTTCTAGACTAGGCCACCCTGACCTTCCCACCTCCCGCCTCTTCTCATTCCAGCTCTTGCTAGGCAGTGGCGTGGGGACGGTGCGTCTTTATGACACCGAAGCCAAGAAGAATCTCTGTGAAATCAACATCAACGATGATATGCCCAGGTGAGCTGGAGGTCTCTCCCTGCCCCCGGCTGCTGCAGGTGGTCTGCATGGCCCCGGCCTTCCCCATCGGTAGCAGGATCCAGTCTCAGGGCCGAAGCCCGCCCTCCCCCTGGGGGCGGCGGCGTGTCTGAGCAGCCCCGTGTATTGCAGAATCCTGTCTCTCGCGTGCAGCCCCAGTGGGGCCTCTTTCGTCTGTTCGGCTGCAGCTCCGAGCCTCCCCTCCCAGGCAGACTTCTCGGCTCCAGACATTGGCAGCAAAGGCACGAACCAGGTTCCTGGCAGGCTGCTGCTGTGGGACACGAAAACCATGAAGCAGCAGGTACGGGGAGCCATTGGTCACTAGTCTTCTGGACTCTTGCTTTCTCCTTATTTTTGGCCTCTAGAGGATTTGTTTTTTTGACCAGCTTAGAACTGTGCCTGTGTGTGTGTGTGTGTGTGTGTGTGTGTGTGTGTGTTTTAAAAAGCATTATGCATGGTACTTTGAGTTCTTGTATGGTTATATAGGGCTCCTGGGGTCCCACAGCATTTGAAATGACCTTTTTCATTAATTATTAGATTTATGAATAGACCCTAAGTTCTATGAGGTTGTTTTGTTTGCTGCTGTATTTCTGGGTGTTCCTGTGGGGAGCTAACTGTAGAGCTTGCTGGGAAGGGCGTGGAGCAGCTGCGACCTTTGTGTGGTCAGATCGCTGTTCCTTGTGTTGCCTGTGAGGAAAGGCCATCAGTGAGGCGTTCCTCCTGCAGGCAGTGGGACTTTTCAACAAGAATTAGCTTGGAGTGGACTTGGAATGCAGCACAGGCCGCCACATGGTGGGTTTTCATTTTATGTCTGGGCATGCATGGCTTACCGTCTTTGTATGGAAACTACAGGGTCCACAGGCACACAGACCTTGCCTCTCAAAAGAGCACAGAGATCACAAGCTCGGACTTTGGCAAAGGCTCAGGTCCACATTCCCAGGGGAAGTTCGCGTGGGGCCAGAGCTGGCGGAAAACCCAGCCCGGGGGCTGAGGTGGACTAGGCAGTGCGCCAGGGCTGCCTTTAAATTCTGAGTTACTTTGCTCTTCTTTCGTTTCCATAGCTCCAGTTCTCCCTGGACCCAGAACCCATTGCTATCAACTGTACAGCCTTCAATCACAACGGGAACCTGCTGGTCACAGGGGCAGCCGATGGCATCATCCGGCTATTCGGTAAGCAAGCGTGCCCTGGCCATCCCAGTCCCCTTCTTAAATGCCCCAGAGAAGAGGGGTGGATTTTTTTTGTCCAGCTGGACTAAAGGCTCTTGCCAAAAGGTGGTTTCACATATGCCCTGGAACTTAACTTGGGTTGGAGTTTTCATCATCACTTGCATGTGGATAGTGCCAGTAGCTGTGGGGGTGTGGAGGCCAACAGTCCTTCTGTCTTCAGCTGTTGGATCTGAGTCCTCGTAGCCTGTGTGGGGTCCAGGGGGACCCACGAGGATGGCGTACCTTAACCAGAGGCATGTGGCAGAATATTGGGCATTTTGTCTACACATCCCCAGGCCAGACCCTGTCCCCAGGAGATGTCCCAGGGTCTGCGATGGGGCATTGTGGCTCTTGTCAGTGGATTCCCCATGACACCCTGGCGGGAAGTTATAGAGGCCTCTCAGGGATTCTTGTGACCTCCTAGACTTACTGCCCCTCAGAAGAGCTCGAGTTCTCTCTGGGAGTCCTGAACTTCACTTCTGATCCAGGGAAGGAAACTGCCTCTGAGGCTCATAGGCAGCCTGGCTTCTTGGATGAGGGCCAGTCCTGTCATGCTGGTTGAGCCCAGGAGATCCTCTGCCTCCAGAATAGCTGGCCCCCCTGAGCAGGCAGGAGGGACTCCTGCTGTGGGTGGGGGCTTTTGGTTTGCCCCTGTGGGAGCCCTGGCCATGTCTCGTCATGCAGACATGCAGCAGCACGAGTGTGCCATGAGCTGGCAGGCCCACTGCGGCGAGGTCTACTCCGTGGAGTTCAGCTACGACGAGAACACTGTGTACAGCATCGGCGAGGATGGGAAGGTAGGGCCCGGCAGGACTGGGGTCAGCACCAGCACAACACGGTGGCCTTGGGTTTAGGTCCTGACTCTACTGTTTACTTGCTCTATGACCTTGGGCTTCTCTGTGGGCCTGTTTTGTCATCAGTGAGACGAGGTAAACTTGGAATTCATCTCACGGGATCTCTGTGATTTTTAAGTGAGTTCAGTGGGAGTTGGCTGTTCTCTTTTACATGACAAAGGCAGCTCATCTCACTGTAGGGGGATTCACGGGGTCTGGACTCAGGGTCAGGCCATGCTTTGGTGAGCTTGATAATTGGGTGGTTGCGGCATGGATGCAGAGATTTTGCTGAGGGCTGGGGATAGCTTCCCAGAGGCACACTGGCCTGAAGAGAGTCCAAAGACCAAAAAAGAAGCCTCCACCCACCTCCCCACCTCTAAAAAACGGTGACAGTAAATACCCCCAGTGGATTCCCTGTATGGATGGGTCCATCAGGATGTGGGAGCAGTGATTACCTTGGAAGGGGTGCTGGGGTAAGTGGCAGAGGTGGGAGGACGGCTGGCTTTCAGATATGCCCTCCTGTGCCCTTTTGCTTTTATGCTGTCCACCTGTGTTATCCATTGAACACAGTGATTACAAAAGAAATTCTACATTCCAGAACTGGGTACAGGGGATTTTTAAATTTAAGTTTGACTTCCTACTTACGTGGGTAGGACTCCCAGCGGAGGAGTAGTTAGAACCCAGTAGCCCAGGGTGGGCTAACAGATTAGAAAAACCATGGTGAAGGAGGTACGGTTTATGGCCATGCTGCTCAGTGCTTAATTGGTTTCTGCTGAGAAGCTGGAAATATATTTGGAATTTGTTCTCCGTGCTTTGTTCCTAAGTCAGCACAAACTAGTTGGGTCCTGACTCTGACAGTGATGATAACGATGGTCACTTAAAGCACGCTCCCTGCCTGAGAGGCCAGCAGTCCATGCACAGGTGCCGCCCCGTCCTCTCCTGGGATCAGGTTGGCGAGGGGTGAACTTGACACACAGTTGTTGACTTCCTCTAGATTTTCTTCCTTAAAACATGTGACCTGTGGGCCCATCACCCTAGCCCCTTTCCTGCCTCTGTACCTGAAAGACCTCTTTAAAGGGCTGAGGCTGGGGGAGGTGGGGTGTCCTCTCAAACCTCTGCTTGGGGTTGGGTCCTGCCCCTTCCTCCCGGGCTCGGGCCCCACCTGCTGTTGCCAGCCCCTGCTGACCCCCTGCTCTTGTTGTGCTCTGTGACCGCAGTTCATCCAGTGGAACATCCACAAGAGCGGCCTGAAGGTGTCTGAGTATGGCCTCCCCTCGGACGCCACAGGCCCCTTCGTGCTGTCTGGCTACAGCGGCTATAAGCAGGTTCAGGTCCCCAGGGGTCGGCTCTTCGCTTTTGACTCAGAGGGCAATTACATGCTGACGTGTTCTGCCACAGGGGGCATCATCTACAAGGTAAGGGTGTGGGAGGATCGTGCTGGGTGGGGAGGGCTCTTCCCTGGATAATCCATGATGGAGCTGAGCATGACCCTCTGTCCCCACCCTGCCTGGCCATGGGGAAACCCCTGACATAAGAGGGACAGCATCTGAATCCTCTTGTCTTGCTGCCAGCCGGGCAGGGTGATTCTCAGCTCTAGTGGAGAAGGCAGGATTGGGGCTGAACACGAGACCCCTGCCCTCTGTATGTCCACCAACTTGGCAAGACAGTTCCCTTTTCCTGCCTCCATTTCTAGGAAATAATATCCATTAGAGGAGAGGTTTAGGAATAAGAGCTGGGAAGCATGTTGGGATGGGAGACCGTAACCGCCAACTCTGGGTACTGGGTGTTGATTTCAGCTCTCCTGATCTGGGCTAAGGTCATGACAGTCCCTGGTTTGTTTGGACAGCAGTCCGTGGGTATGATTTGTGAGTTGTCCACAGTGGTTGTGTCCCTCAGTTTACACATTTGTAGTTCCCAAGTCAGAGCTTTTCATATACCTTTTTGATTATATAAAATCATAAGCATCTTCTTTTTTTTTTTTAAGTATTACCAAAGAGACTAGTGATGAGGATTTGCGTTAGAGCTTAAGCTCTTGGGTCGTGACTTTTCCGACAACCCAATATAGCAGCGTAAGTTTGGTACCCAGCGAGTTGAGTCTTAGCCTCAGTGTTAACGCGGCATCCTCTGCGTGGTGGTGGCATTTAGTTTGCAGGCGTAAAGCGTCACACAAGGTGGGATAGTCTCAGTGTCTCGTTGACCAGTCAGTAGCCTGTTTTACACTGCAGTTGTGTGCCCGGCATTCGACTAGTGCTGTGGAGCGTGCCAGATGTGCAATATGACTGTTGGTCCAGCCACTATGGTGCAGTGGTAACGTGAGTACCCTGCATGGCCAGAGGCCTTGTGGCCGACCACGGGTTTAGATCCCAGGATCAGCCTGGTTAACATGCCAGGTGCATGTGTGAGTGTCTAGTCTCCAGAAGGGCTGGAGGGCAGGTAAAGGGAATCGTGGTGTGAGGAGGTCCTGTCAAGGGTTCTCTTTCTGTTTTTCTCTCGTTTGTGCACGTCTCTCATTTAAAAACAAAGAAACAAAAAGCCCTGTTCTCTTGGGGGTCCCAGACAAATTAGAGACATAGCACCAGCAGTGGGGACCAGTGTGGTGTTGAGCAGTCCTGAAGGAGGAAGTGCTCAGGGAAGACCCCCCCCACCCCCAGGGAGGGGAGTGGTCTGTGTATTGGAAGAGGAGGAACTGGGGCAACAGGGAAGAAGGCCTTGGGGCCTCGTGGGCAGAGGCGTGTGCAGAAGAGGAGAGTCTGAGGCAGTAGCCTTCCAGTCCGTGACCGCAGTGAAGTCTGGAGTTGCCATCAGTAAGGCTCTTCTTTCCTTCAGAGGATGGGTGATTATTTTGGTGGTTTTACCCTCTGCTTAAAGAATCAGTCTCATAATTTTTCATAACTGCATGCCTCCCAATGGAGAGCCTGTAAAAAGATTTCAGTTTACAGGTTTAACTTAATTTTATTCTTTATAAAGGTTTGTTTTAGTTGCATTTCAGGTGGGTGTACCTTGCTGTCTGTATGAATACTTACATATATATGTATGCATTTTTTTTTTTTTAGATTTTTTGCAATAGGGTGTGTGTACTTGCTAGAGAAAGCGGGAAAGTGAGAAGTCACCCCCACCCAGGGATGACCACATCCCAATTCCTTCTCTTCCATTTTCCTGTTAGGATTTTTGGCATGCACACATATGAGCCCAGTGTGTTTTTCAAGCCACTGGGTCTGGGACTCA